ACGGAAGTGATAAAGATAGTGACGACGTTTGAGGAGCAAGAAGACGAAAAGTCTGAATAATCGATAGTGAATCTGGAAGCCAAAGTGATTGTACAGAAGAGACTGAACCTTCAGAATGGACAGTGCGCACAGAATCCAAAGAAATCCCCAGAAGAATACTGTTTGTATCCGGTGAAAGACAAGTAGGACCGCACGTATTTGCACACATAAAAGAACCAATAGATTTATTCAAATTATTTTTTTCACCGAGGAATTAGTTACTTACATAGTGCAGGAAACTAACAATAACTCTGCAAGGTAGGTGGAAGGGAAGACCTTATCATCCCGTTCTGTATGGCGATCATGGTACGATGTAACAGTTACTGAATTTTGGGCATTTATTGGGGCAATCATAAATATGACGACAATGCCACTTGCAAACATACAATAATACTGTTCGAAAAATGATACTATGGGGTTGGAGGGAAAGTTCTGTGGTATTTTAAATAGGCAGGTGATTTTTCTTGTAAATAAAAAAAAATCTGGCTAGTGAGTCAATCGGATTTTGTTTTGTTTTGTTTTTTTAGCTGATGTATAATATAAAAGGTGCCCTTTTTTACTGTTCATCATTTACTTGTAATATTTAAAGGGAAAAACATGTTGGTAGATAAAGTGCATTTACGACACTGCATTTTATATGAATTCCAAAAAGGAAGCAACGCATCTGTTGCATGTAAAAACTTATGTGCGGTATTTGGAAAAGATATTGTAAAATGTTCGTACTTATCAAAGATGGTTTAGCAAATTTCGTTCCGGGGACCTGAGCCTCAAAGAAAGTGTTCGATCTGGACGACCATCCAAGATCGATAATGATGTTTTGCGATCCATGTTGGAAAATAATCCACATTTAACAAGTCGAGAAATTGCAGAAGAGTTTGGCATTCATCATACAACTGTTGGAGATCACATTAAATCTTTTGGGTTGTGTTAAAGCAAAGTGTTTGGGTTCCACATGAATTAACGGAAAGAATTTGTCTGATCGTGTAAGAATATGTTCATCACATCTGATGATAGACACAATGTGGAGCCGTTTTTGGACAGGCTGGTTACTGGAGATGAAAAGTGGATTCTTTACGAGAATATTAAAAGAAAAAAATCGTACTGCAAACCAGGAACATCATCAGCAACAGTTCCAAAACCAAGTATCCATCAACGAAAAGTACTGCTTTGTTTGTGGTGGGACAGGAAAGGTCCAGTGTATTACGAGTTGCTCTGAAACAGGGAAAAAAAAATCAACACGGATCTGTACTGCAATCAGCTGGATAAATTGAATGCAGCTATCAAAGAAAAAAGGCCAGCATTAGCGTCCAGAAAAGGAATAGTGTTCCATCCACGATAATGCTCGCCCTGCATACTGCAATGGTGACACTAACAAAAACGCTGAATGCGTTAGGATGGGAAGTCCTTAGTCACGCACCGTATTCACCTGACATTGCACCCTCTGATTATTACCTGTTCAGATCTCTGCAAAATCATCTAACGGGAAAAAAATTCAAGTCTTTTTGAAAGTGTTTCTAAGGCAGTTGCTGACTATTTTAACTCCAAGGACGAGAACTTCTACAAAACAGGAATTTACAGGTTACCTGGAAAGATGGCAACAGGTTGTAACAAATAACGGAGCATATATAATTGATTAATATTAAACACATATTTTTATAAATGAATTCAAATATTTTCTTTAAAATACGACAGAACTTTCCCTCCAACCCAATAGTTATATTCCGTTTTACTCAGACATGTTTACGAGAGACCGATTTTGTCAAATATTTTGGAGACTTCATTTCAAGACAATACCCTCAGAAAACACAAACCCTAGAACCCATTTGCAATTAGTATCTGGTTTCCTCGAGTATATAAATGAAAGGTTCTTGAATTATTTTGTACCCGGAGAGCAGATTTGTATGGATGAGTCGACTGTCAAATTCAAAGGCCACATATCATTTATTACATACAATCTAATGAAACGTACAAAATGGGGTATTCGTGTTTATACACTCGCAGATTGAAATACCGGCTTCATTTGTGGTATTCTGCCGGTATTATGGATCTCTAACAACAGAGACTTTTTCAGAAGTCAATCAACAAAAATCAGCGTTATATTTACAAAATTTTCACAGGACTAGTTTCGATGGTTTTACCGAATCACCATCTTCAGCTGCAAAACCGCAAATGAACCAGATAGGAAATAATGATTAGATAAGATAAGAAAGCAGCCTGGACAAGAATAAGCAAGTGGCGCCATCTGTTGGTGAAACCAGAACTAAAACATAATTTCTTTAAAGGCCGAAGGCAAATTTGGATTGGAATTAGGATCGTTAACTAGAACAGAAAGATTTTTATGAATGTGAAATCCAGTTCTCCAATGGAAGAGGTTTTTTGAATAATTTTGGCAGCAGAAAATCTGAAAGTGTGGTTTTCGGACCAACAATGTTGAGCAACAGAAGACTTCTGTGTTTCCTTTTTCTAACATATGCCTCATGTTCCTTGACGCGAAATTTTAAAAGGCTCTCTTAGTTTGGCCAATATAAATTAAACCACACTGGCAAGGAATCCTATAAATACCCCAGGAATTCATATCCGGAATGGGGTCCTTGAGTGTGGAACTCGGAATTTTATTGATGGGAAAATAAACAACCCGAAAGTTAAATTTCTGCAAAATATGTGCAACTTTATAGCTAATTGATTGAAAGAAGGGAATGACAACAGAATTTTTATAATCTCCTAAAACAAGAGTGTGCCTTTTAGTGTGTTGAGATGAGAATTTTTTAACTGCTTGATTAATAATGTTGGGTGAAAAGCCCCTGTCAATAGCTATTGCTTTTAAATAATTTAGTTCTTCATCAAGGGCTAGTTTGGAGGAGCAAACTTGAAGAGCACGGAAAACATAGGAATAAAATGAAGCTAACTTTTGTTTAGTCGGATGACATGATTTAAAGTGTGCTGGAAGGCAAACCGATGAAGGTTTACGGTAAACCGTAGTACTGAAGTTGGATGTGTTATGTGTGACCAGAATGTCGAGAAACGGTAGAGAATTGCAAGTCTCAAGTTCAAAAGTGAACTGAATAGCAGGATCAATAGAATTCATAGTTGAAAGAACTTTATTTAAATCATCTTTATTACCTTCAAACAGAGTAAAAGTATCGTCTACACGTAGCGGAACCATGCCGGGAAGTTTAAAGTTTCAAACAATTTTGATTTCAGACCGTAAATGTGAGGAATTTAAAATTTTTATTGTGTACATTTAATTATTTTTCATATTATGCAATGTTTTACAGCGTTTTAATACACTAATACTCATGTAATTCTAATATTCATATATTGATATAATTTTTTAAATATCTGGTGTTCGCCAGCGTGCCTTTTATTGAAATTCAGGATACACCCCTGAATAGAATGCCACTTAATGTGACACAGTAATTGTTCTCATTTGGATATTTTTATTGATTTGCTAAAGTGCCATCCGTCTGTAAACAAAAACATTGAAAATAATTAGTTAATATGAGCAGCCTGTAGAAAAATAAGTTTAAGCTAAAGTAAGAATAGATTGTAAAACTTTTTAAGTGAGGGGTTAAATTACGAGATGGATTGGGATCAGTTTCCGTCAACCGTTTAAAATTGGACGAAAAAGCAACTTTAGTTTGATATAATTTTTAATAATTAATTTTATTTTAAGGGCAATCAGATATAAGTGTATCTTTCAAAAAAAAAAATGCTGTTGTACTGAATTAAGAATTTTACAACTAAGACCTGGATTTGTATTTCTGAGTATAGCATTTCATTATATACAAATATATTTCATTATATTAAAACAGTATACAGTATTTACATTTAAAAAAATTAAAACTAAATATTTTTCTACAACAGAGTGAGAAAAGTTCCACATCTATTTCTTTCCTGTTCGAATTTCAGTCTCCCCTTCAACTCTAACACTCATAATAGAAGAAAAGATTGCCCTTTATTAGCAGAGGACGAGAAGAGGTTTCTGACTCTTTCTGAGGTCGGCACAAAGTCCTTACCAGTGCTGAAATTTGTGACACCGCATCTCCTGAGAAAAGGGATTTGTACCACATTGTCCCAGCATGTTATCTTCCAATGAGGAATGACATCTGAGTATTATCATTAAAAGTACAGCATCAGTGAAATATTTTTTCAGAAATGTTAGGAGCATTTCAACGTCATAAATTGACTTGATGCCTTTTCCCAATTAAAATGCTGTGAAAATATCTGTATATATGCTTTCCGGATTGGGGATTTTTCCAAATTATAGATAATCAATTTAAATCTGGTAAGACGGCATGCAGAAATTATACAATTAAAAATATGAAACCATAATTTATGAAATAAAGAGCAATTATGATCTAAAGGGTATCAAAATTTACAAAAAAAAGCTTAATATTTATTTGTTTACTTTATTAAACATTTCTTTCAATGTAAGTTATTTCAGTTGCTTCGTTTTTTGTGCTAATACTTTCTCTTTAATTCTTTCTTCTATAAACAGACATAATTTCTTGTTCAGTTACAAAGTTCCACTGTTCAAATCCTGTAATTGCTGTGTCGAGAATTCCAACTAACTTGTCAATTGAAATTTTTTTGTTTTCAATGACCTCTCTGTCACTTTCCTCACTATCGGAAGTGCCCAAGTGTAAACGCTTTGCTGGCTTTATGTGCTTGCGTAAGTTTGTGGCTTTGAGGTCCAGATTATAGATCATTCTGAATAGTGGATGTCCGGATTACAGACTTTGTACTGTCTTAGTCAAATTCCTTTGCTGTTTTGAATGATTTTTCCCCCTTATCATTTAATGCTATTAATATTGCTGTGGATAAACGTTATTGCAGTGGCACCTGCTGTACTAAATTATTGTTGATAGCATTTTTTGATACATTGTGTTTTGTAAATTTAGTTTCTGGTTATCTGCTTGATGTGGAAAGTGTATTTTGTTTAATGTAATTTTTCTTAAAAGGTTGAGCTCCTGAAATGGGTACCCGTGTATACATTGGAAGATTGAGTTATGACTGTCGAGAGAGAGATTTAGAAAAGTTTTTCAAAGGATATGGAAAAATTCGTGAAATACTAATAAAAAATGGCTTTGGATTTGTTGTAAGTTAACTTTTTTTTTTTTTTTTTAATTTTTCATACGTTTGCATATAGTGTTTATTTCTATGTTTTTTACTAAGCATAATTTTGATGTTTAAATTAAGGAATGGAAAAAATAGAGACATGTATTTGTACTCTAAGCTAATCAAATTACCTCAATTATTCTTCCCCAACGGAATTGGGATAGAATTTTGTATTTTAAGGCTAATTGATAGTAATGTAATGATCTAAGATTGTTATTAAGAAAACTGTGGATGTGTAATATTGTGAGATTATTGAATTTTGAACAGAAATTTTAGTAAATTTTAGTTATTCTTAACACCTCAAACTGTGATGGTGACTTTTAATGTGATTTTTTATTGTGTCTTATTTCATAAGAAGAAATTGAATTTAATTAAATAAATTTAATTTAAATTTAAAAACAAATTTAATTAAATAATTCTTTGCGCCATTGCTGCAAGGCATGAAATTTAAATTTTAACAAACACGTATAAAAGCAAAAAAGCAAAATTAAAGCAAAAAAAAAAAAATTGATTTAATACTTGACTTTACTTGCTTGTTTCTCAAAAGTCTTCATTAGTATTTTCCTTTTAAAACTTTAATTCTTAAATGCTAATTTCTAAGGGTACCACTTTATTGGTATTTCTTTTTGGACATTCTTCACTTTTTTACTTTTGGTTTTGACTTTTACCCTTGCCTGCATGAATGACGAAACACGAATTGAATGATTGGAGAGTTAGGTTTGGAGGCAACTTCCCCTTGATAAGTCTCAACAGTCATTCACTTATGCATTTAAAAAAAAAAAATTGTTTGGATTAATTTTAATTTGCTAAATTAGTGAATTTATTTTCATGGATTGGTTTTGCACTTGATTTGCTAATGCTTCTGAATTTAAATGATATTGTAGATTAGTTCAAGAATTATTATTTAATTCTTTATTAATTATTTATTATTATTATTATTTTTTTTTAATCTTTTATATGTTTACACATTTTTTTTTAATTTGCTTTTTTAATTTTGGCTTTAATTTTGCTTTTTTTAATTTTTATTTTTATACGTGTTTGTTAAAATTTAAATTTAATTTGTTTAAATTTATTTCATAATTATTTATTTTTGCTTTCAGGAATTTGATGATTATCGAGATGCTGATGATGCAGTGTATGAATTAAATGGAAAAGATTTGTTGGGAGAAAGGTAAAGTATTACTTGATGTATTTTTATTGTATAGGCCAGGCATGTCAAACTTCCCATCTCAAGTGAGTCAGTTAGTTATCAGAATAAAAAAGTGACCACAAGAAACAAAGTCATTTTCACACATTGATATGTGCATGAAATAGTGAGTAAATACGTAAAAACTTACCTTATCCTATAGTTTAAAAAATAGTAAAAATTTAGGGAAATGTAGATAATAATAGATGGTCACCTGTTGTTTCTTTCCGGACATCTGCCATCTTTTTCCTGCAACTAACGTTTAAATTTCTGGAAAAATACTGCATAACAATTTTCAAAGGTCAGCTGAAAACTTGGATCTTGCTAAGAGCTTGTCTTTTTTGACTCGTGATGATTCACCCTGATATATATTACTGAACATAGATATGCGAGATATAGTCCAGAGATATGCGAGTGGTATGTGGCCTGGCATTATCTTGTTAGAAAATGGCCCCAGGATGACGTGCCATTGAAGGGAACCAGGCCGCAGGATGGTATCAACATATCATTGAGTTGTTAAAGATGTATGGAGGATGACTAAATATGACCTGCTGTCCTAAGAAATAGTGCACCACACCATCCCAACAGGGATTACGGCCTTTTAAGCCTTTGTAAACAAAAAGGCTGATTGGGACCGCTGGCTTCGTCCTCTCCGGACACGAACATGGTAGTCATCTGCTTCAAGAGTGAAGCGGGATTCATCGCTGAACACTGTATGATGCCAGTCTGATAGCAGCCATGATGATCGGCTGCGACAACACTCCAGACTACCCGACATTGTGGGGTCAAAGGCAAATGTCTTAAAGACCTCTGTGAGCGTAACCCCGCCACCTTAGACAAGTGCCGTGAGATGATGGACGGTACCACGGGATGTATAGATGTGGCTGTAGTGCGTTGAATAGTTGACAATGGTACCATTGGGGTGGTTCGGGCCTGGCAAACAATCATCCAATCTTGCCTCGCATTTGTGCTCCTTGGCCTTCCAGAGCCTTCATTTCATCGGCAATTTCCTTGTAGCAACCGTTGCTGCCAACATCTTTGCGCAGCAGTGTGTTTACAACAGCAGGTTGCGGCCTTTTGCTCGGTATGACCACCCAGCTTCTTGCAACCTAACAATGTGACCACGTTTGAAGTCATTTAGTTGTCTGTAAGGTCTTCATCGTAATGGCATCTTTAGTTGCTCCTTTATGTAATTACAATGGCAGCAACTTCCCTGCCTCTGTTACCTTGTTTTGTACTTTGCGAATTGCACACTATGTTCGATCAAGATGTTTTTGTCCGTCTTTTGTTTGCAAAAGTCCGTCTTGGTGCTTTGATTTTTTTGCGAAAGAGTGTATAAAGCATTGTTCTAATATAGGTATTTTGACACAAAATCGTACTTTTTCTGAAATAACATTTCCTCCCCCCACCGTATTTCTATTCTATATCTCAAATTATGCCAAACTACCAAGTTTTGTAAAAATCGCATGAGTAGTTTTTAAAAAACTATCTTTAGCTCCTGAGTTTGTGATATATTTATTGATCTATCTTTTTTTATTAAACTTATTTGATTCTTCCTTAACATTTCGAAATTCAAGTTCATTTCAAATGTAATTCACCCATTTTTTATGATTTATTTTTAAAATTTGTATTGTTAAATAATTTTTATAAATTTTTTCAGAAACATTTTTGAATTATAATTGATAAAATTTTTACCATCATTTTAAAATAGATGTATTTCTAAGCATACGTGCAAAAAATTACAGTTTTTTATTCAAAATTTCCGAAGATATACGTGAATTTATATATTGGCATGTTTTGAAATTTGGCATATTTTTTAAAGCGATAAAACAACAAATGTGGTTTAGAAACTTTATTAAAATTATTTGAAAGCAGGAATGATGCGAATTTTTTCCGGCCCTGCATAATTGAAAGGAAAGGAAAATTGTTTGCAATTTATTAACAAGTTTCCCAAGTGAATTAATTATTCTTGGCTCAAACTGAAAAAAATGTGGCAAGATAAATTTTTGAAATTCTCCGTAAATTTTGCACCGAATTTAACAAAATTTAGTATCTAGGCATAATTTTTTTAATCGTAGAATTGAAATATTGAAAAAATTTTATGTGTTTTTCAGGAAAGTCCGATTTTGTGTCAAAATAAGTATGCTAGAAGAATGCTATATATAAATCTAATATAGTATATCCTAAGTCATGCTTATATTTTCTAGGGGTGACTACAAAGAAATGAATTAGGGCTGCAAGTTTGACATGCCTGTAGTAGACAGAAAAATATAATGTATGTTAAAGTGCTATTTATATTCTTATGCATTTGTATGCAACAAAGAAATATTTATTCGTAGCTATGAATTACTATCCTTGGGATTATGACTGAACGCCTCTAAGTCAAAATCCCACCTAATCACTGCAACGATACTGTTTGTGCTTTGTGCATCGATGGGCTATTTTAGCCAGAACGTACGTCTGTCCCGGACGAGTTGGACTACTCTGGCGACGAGGCCTGTTCAACTCAGGGCAATCAAAGAGCTGCTGAGATTATGTGGTCCCCGCTTCGAAATCCATACTGTGCAGGTGTTACCATTTATGAGGTGACATAGCTTCTGTGTTTAATGAAACCTCATGTTATCTTTTACAGTTAATACTCCTTAAATATTGAGGCTGTTAGTAACAATATATCATTTATTTGGTAATTGGGAGATTTTCGTGTTAAGAAACTATAATGATGCTGTTATATTCAATGGCACAACTTGGGTAATAAATGCTTGACGGAATGTTTCAAACACATGTAATTTTAGCTATATTCTGTAGATACATCTGTATTTGCTCTTTTCTGTGTCTGCTATCTTCAAGGGCATGAATTAAGCTTCAAAACACAGTATGAGCCACAATCAGTATACTTTTCATTATATTCAGACTATGCGAAAAGAGGAAAATGAAGATTTGGAACTCGTATTGATATTTTCTAACTTTAAGAACTTGAAATAGAAGTTGTGTGTGATTTTATTAGGGAAGGGGGTGGATGGATGCAATTTTGGAAAGAAAAATGGTTTGAGAAAAATATTTTGAGCTTTTTTCCAGTTCCATTTCGTGCTTGGAAAAATACTCTGCAGTTGAATCACCTTCAACAGATTGGTGGAAATTTACTGCAGTTGAATCACCTTCAACAGATTGGTGGAAATTTACTGCAGTTGAATCACCTTCAACAGATTGGTGGAAATTTAAGCAAGAAGTTATCTGATAAATTATTTATTAAAATGTTGTGTTTGGAAAAATGTGTGACCAAATGCTTTCAATTATGTACTGCAGTTCTGGAATTCCCCCCCTCCAGTATTCTGTGTCAGGGTGTACAGCTGTAAAATGTGCAGTGCTAAATATTGAAATGATGTAATAAATTATAGATAATGCTGTAAACAGTTTCTTGATGTTACTGTCTGTATTTATCAAAATATGGTTATTTTCGATATTTTTACTGTGAGGCATTATTGAAATAATCATAAAAATTCTGGGGAAATTACGTTTGTATTTGATATGATAAATAATAATCTGAATATTTTTAATAATTTTGGCTAAGTGCATTAATAAAAGCAAAAGAAATTATAAAATTACATTTTGTGGTAATCATGTAATATGTGATCTATTGCTTTTAGTTATTTATTTATTTAATGGCATCACTGAAATGCTATTTTTAAATATGAACATGCTATAAAATGGCAGAGAAAAGAACCAATTTTAATGTTACTACGTAAAAAATAAAAACTAACAGCAGTAGGTTTCATACTACATGATTACCCATTTTTCTTCACTTTTGCACATGAGTATTTTAGTGGAGGTTCAAATTTTGTCAAATAACCTGTTTACTGCCTAATTTTTTTATAAGATTTAGCACATATATTTGTGTAGGAAAGACAGTAAATTTATGTAAGTAGCTCATGAACTCCTAATTTTCCATTGCCTTAAATTTTCGTATGTAAACGAATTGTGCAGTATGTGTAGGGAAGACGGTAGATTTATGTAAGTAGCTCATGAACTCCTAATTTTCCATTGCCTTAAATTTTCATATTTAAAGGAACTGTGTATTAATCTTATGAGTATATCTTGAATACATGTAGTCAAGGGCGTACTTTTTCTTCTGTAATTGAAAATTTACAAAATATAATATTTATCCTCCTTTTAGAGTTATTCTGGAAATAGCTCGAGGTCCAGTACGAAGAACTGGTGGCCGATTCGGGTTTCGTCGTCGTGGTAGTTGGTTAGACAAGTAAGTGATTTTAATATATTAAAGTGGTTGTTTTATTTTTTCAGAATGCATGTAGAGATTGCCCGAGGTCCAAGGAGCAGAGATGACTCCTGGAACTCTTGGCATAGAAATAGGAATAGGCGACCTATGCGTAGGTGGGGCAGAAAAGAAAAGTAAGAATTATGCCTAAATATTTATATAATCCTTATTGTTTTCTGTTTTAGATTACTTATTACAGTGTTCATGATCATTTAATGTGCAAAAAATGTATTTCATTGCTTTCACATGTGAGCACCTTCTAAGTGCACAGAGTTTGTAAAGGTTTCCTGATCTTTGGATAACTGTGCATATGAACCTCGTTACAGTCAAACTTCAATAAGCCAAAATAACAAATTATAAAAGTAAATTTTAAAAAATTCAGCTAATGGAAGAGAACTGCTGTTGAGTTTTGTGGTCCGCCTTATTGAAGTTTGACCATTTGTAACATTTATGTAATTAAAAAAACTTTAAATGTGTTTGTACGTGTATTTAATTTTCAATAATAGCCTAATAATATACATTAAACTTTCACACTGCACCAAGTTTGTATTTACTTTTCACGTACAGTTCCTGGCTTCCATGCCACCAGCGGTCGAGTGGCAAAGTCGCTGAACACTTGTAGTTCGGTCCGAGGTTTGAATCCTGCAAACGGCTGGCCGCATGATCGTTTTTGTTGTTTTCGCCATGTATAGCGTGTATATTATTAGCCAGTTTCCCTTAAAAAGTTATCCACAAAGGCATCCCTCCCTTTAGGCAGATAGCCCCCATGTGTTTTCCCATAGTCGAATAAACCAAACCATCCTGTTTTCCATATTTCCATGTTTGCTTTTAGTATACCATCAGAAGCATTTTCTCATCCCAGTATATTTCTCCATGTGTATTCTGTGCAATAAGACTCAAGATGATTGCGATCCATGCCTTATTTTGTCATGTAATGGAGCCCCACTACCTTTCAGAATTTTGTGTATGAGCAGTAAAATTCTGGAATTTGATTCACAATGAAGTGAGCATTCCTGCTTTTTCTAGTTTGTATTTTGTGTGCTTACCAGTAGTCTGAATGAATGGATCATCGATCCCTTTTGTAGGTCTGTGATTTTTACTGGACATGTCTTGTCTATTTTCACATTTTTTCCAGGGCTATCTACTTGCTTATTTGGTTGTTAATGTAAAGAATATACGATTTTAAAAAACTGTCCCAGTTCAGTAGTCCATATTTTCGTAAAGATTGAGTTTTCTTATGCCACTTAATCAATGTTAGTTCTGCCTATCACTAAATAGATTGCAGTGCTATAACAAACAGTATTCTGGAGTCACTGAACCAGTTGTCAAAGTTAATTACAGGTGCAAATTTCAAAATTACACATGCTTTCAATACATGATTTAGCTTCTTATTTATTAGAACATCTTGTTTAGTATTTTAATTTGTATATCTTGGTTATGTTATTTCTAAAGGTGTAAACAAAGATTGGGATATTATTAAAAATAGAAGTTTTAAAATTTTTGGAACTTTACTATTATTGGGGGGGGGACCAGATTCAGAAATGTATACTGTATGTAAATATACACACACTTATGTACATTTCTGAATTCTGAACATAACAGAAAAATACCAATTTTTTTTTGTGTTTGTTTTAAATTACAGTTCTTTCTATATATATCATACTAGAAAGCCCGGCGGTCATACAAATATTCTAGATATTATAAATTGTAATTAAAATGATTTGTGCAAAGGTGTGCTAATTCAAGCTGAATTACCCAGGGCAGGCGACGAGGACATCCCTTTGCTTACTGCCGCACGGGGTTTCCCTCTTCTACTTGCTTAATTGCTTAAAGAAGAGTGCAGTGAAGGAAATCTCTGGCAAGAGCCACTGCTAGCTCAATAAATAAAGGCAATTAAATAATAAAATGTTAATTCACATGTCAAAGATCTCTTTGTACACAACATTCTTGTGTAGATCTTTCCATCATTTTTAAGCTCGCCTTGCAGAGGACTATTTATTATTTTTAATTTTATGCCCGTTCTTTCACGAACTCTTGAACAGGCACCATCAAGTTGACCGCGCCCAAATGCGGGCTCAGGTTTAAAAATGCCAACTTGCTCAAGCGTTTGGCACTGATACTTATTAATGGTCATAGCAAAGGCAAGTTTTACAGGAAATTGTCTACGTCTCAATTGAAACGGCAACCCTGTGCCGTGGCAACTTCACCCCGTTGGCTAGTACAGTTACGCAAGAAACCAATAAACTATTGGCGACAAACAGACACTTAAACGGCATATAATAAAGATATTTATTTGTTTTTCATCGTTGCCGGTTGCGTATCTCCCAATTCTGTTATATATAGATGCTAAATTTATTTATTAAATGTCTAGTGCACATGCTCTTGTATTTTTAATTTTTCCAGCTTAGCTTTCTCATAATATTCGTCACGTGCTGCACTGCTTGGAGAATAAAGCAATTTAGCAACCAATAAACTATCGGCGACAAACATAAGCCGCACATATATAAGATGTATGCATATGTGCATGCATATATATACACACACACACACATGAATGCATATATGTATGTAGTATTTTAGGACTGTAGATGAAACTGGTACTTTTATCAGCTTGCAGTCGTCATGGCCTAGGGTGGAAATTTTAATGTGCTGCAGCTTGAAGTCTACGTAGTTATAGATAGATGCGAAATCCAAGAACTTCCAGACCTGGCTGTTTCAAAACACAACTTTATTCCATGATAATTCGCATCAAATCACATTTGTTAAACAAGGGATTTAACTAATCCATAGACTCCAACTACTACGGATTCTCCGTAGTTTCTACGGAAATTCATGAAAAACTACGAGCTACGAAAAGTATGGAAAAAACTACGGATTTTACAGAAACAAGAGCAGGAGAACCAGTACGCAAAACAGAACCAACTAATTCATCCAATGATTGGCTGAATACTCGTGTTATCATATATCACGTGTTGAGTGCGTTCCTAGTTTTGAAGAATTAGCCAATCGTAGATCAGTAACTCCAACCGTTAACGACTTATCAATAGTTCCACCCAATTGTCTGTCTCCCAGGTTCCTCGCTGATGCGTGTTTAGGCTGCATTCGTGTAGTTTTACACGGCGAGAGCTTAGCGTGTGTCTTGTGAACTGTGAATCAGGTGAAAGATTTTTAATCATAATGCTGCCTCGAACGAAGAAGCCAAAATTATCAAAGCAGAAGTTTAAAGATTCATATTCTTCAGAATTTCCATGCATTAAAGCGTCCGAAATTTCTGTGAATCACGCACACTGCAGTGTATGCAACAAAGACTTCTCAGTTGCTCATGGCGGAAAAGATGACTGTAAACGGCATGTGTTTTCTCAAAAGCATATAGAACTTGGCACCGTAAAATCTAAAGAAATAACAAATTTCTTAATAAAAGATGATGAAACAGATCCTATAAAAGCCGAATGCTATTTTGTTCGTTTTTTTAATTGAACATAATCTACCGCTTTCTGTTTCGGATCATTCCAAAGAGCTTTTCAAAGCAATGTTTCCGGATTCTGCCATAGCAAAAAAATTTAGCTGCGGTCATACCAAAACTGCTGCTATTGTGAAAACGCTTGCAGAAAATACTGTTGCTGATATTATAAAATCAGTGTGCAGTACATCATTTTCTCTAAGTACTGATGGAAGTAATGATAACAATGATAACAAACTGTACCCATTGGTTATAACATACTACAGTAAAGAAAAGGGAGTGATAATTACTTCATTGATTTCTATTTTAGAATGCACGAATAATACAGGAGAAGGTATTTTTAATTGTATAAATGAAAACTTTAAAAACAAAGGTTTAGAATGGAAAAATTGCTTATCATTTTCTTCAGATAATGCTAGTAATATGATTGGAAAGTTTAAAGGTGTAGCATCATTTATCAAAATGCATCAACCAAGTATAATCACCCGAGGTTGTCCGTGCCACCTCTTGCATATAGCTGCAAAAAAAGCTACTGAAAAATTAATTGGCTCAGAAATTGAAATGTTGATAATAGAGATATATTTTTACTTGGAGAAAAGTTCGAAACGGAAGCATAGCTTCAAAGTTGCTCAACAAATTTTGGGACAGAATGCAAAATCTCATAAAATTTTGAAATATTGCAGTACGAGATGGTTGTCTCTTTTAGAATCTATAACAAGGATTTTGGAACAGTGGGATGCTGTGATAAATTTTTTTGGAGATAAACCAGATAACAGTGAGAATGAAGGAAAGAGATTGCAAAACATTAAAAAAATTTTACAGTCACCGACCACCAAATTGTACTTGTTATTTTTGAAAAATACTTTGCCTTTGTTTATAACAGTAAATATTAATTTGCAACAACAAGCTCCTTATATACATAAATTGAGAAGAGAACTTTTTGAACTTTTAATGAATTTATTTGTTAGATTCGTAAAACCATCAGTAATTTCTAAAGAAAATGAAGATGTTACTCTAACGTCTATTCCATTTCAGAAGTATAGTAAACAAAAAAAATGAAAATTTAGTGATTGGTGCGGAAACAAGACTATATTTAAAAAATGCCAAGTTGAATGAAAGTGAAGTGAAATCATTTTTCAATTCTGTGCGAGCTTTTTTTGTAACTGCATGTTCATATATAATTGATAAATTTCCACTGAGTGATCCATTTCTAAAACATGCTGAAGTTGCTGACATCAACTTGAGAACTGAAGTCTCATTTTCATCTGTTCTTTACTTGATGAATACTTTTCCATCCATTATTGATGAAAAATGTCTTAATCAAGTAGAAATTGAATTTTCCATGTATCAAGTAGATGATTTGAAAGAAATTGTAGATTTGCGTATTGATATAGCATGGGGAGAAATTGCCAAATTAAAAAATATGAATGGGTGTATTAAATACAAAGTATTGCCTTCTGTAATGCTTGCTGTCTTAATAATACCTCATTCAAATGCAGCTTGCGAAAGAATTTTTTCTATTGTTAAAAAAAATCAGACGGAATTTCGACCAAATTTAGGTCTTAAAACTCTTGAAGCAGTTTTGATTGAAAAAATAAATGTGCAGGCAAATGAAGAACTGTGTTATAAAAAAACATTCTCAAAATCAGAACTTAAGCTTGCTAAGCATGCTACATATAAATCTTTGCATTCATAAATTATGCGTATTTTGTTTAATACTTATATGTATCATTCTTGGTTATTTAAATTTTATTTCCCTGTAGAAATCATATCCAGAATAAAGATATGATTTATAGCTTCTGATTTTTTCTATGATTAGTAGTGATTTGAAGTACTTTTTATTAGTGAATGCTTGAGGAGTTAAAAGAAAATTTCTAATTAAATGTGCATATAATTTACAAGGTATATTTTTAATTATTCAGTTTTATATGTATATGGATTTTAAATGTAATAAAATTGATTACAATTAATTATTAATTTAAAATTAATGAATGGTTAATTACAACATACGCTACGCGCACATTTTCAAAGTTGTAAAAATGTCGTTCGCGCGTTGACTACTGACAAGGTTTGCTGAAGGTTGGAGTCTATGACTAATCATAGTTAAATATGATAATTTTTATTTACACTGGTATTTTAAAATATGACGCAGGCATCTTATACAGGGAAGCAAAGCAGCGTCGAGATGTTGGCATAGCGGAAGCTAGGGGAAGGAATGATGTAATTGCTTGCAAAAAATATTTATATTAAGTAGGTGAATAAGTACAGTTAAACTGCGATTGGTTAATTTTAGGTTGTTATATAAAACAACCTAAATTAAAAAAGATCTTGAATTTGGGAGAAAGATGAACTTAGCGGGGGAGAACACCAAATTTAGATTAGTCAATTTTCAGGTTGCTAATTTTTTCTTAGTGCAGCCATCATATTTTGTTATATATTACATGTGTATATATACACACGCACACCATGTATTTCAGTATAGTTTATTCAACATAGTGTGTATTTTATTTTTTAAAGATATGGTCCTCCAACTAGAACAGAATATCGTTTGATAGTGGAAAATTTAAGCAGCAAAGTTAGCTGGCAGGTATGTATAATTTTTGATTATCTGAGTATTGCTGTTAAAAAATGTATGTAATATATAAGCTGATACACTTCTGTTATACTGGGGAAAAAAATGAAATTTAAAGGAAAGACTAGTCCTTGCTAATGTTTAATGACCAGTTTTTTAATATGCATTTGAATCTCCAAAAGCCATTTTAGGTTTTAAAACTTTTTTACAAATAAATATAAAAAATTTCAGCAGATTTTTTAATTTTTCAATAAAGTTTAAAATATATTTCAGAAATATAATAAATAAATATGCTGATTGCAGTTTTTATTAAGTTTAATTATATTATTTAAATAAGGCTTATTGAAATGAATAGGTACCGAATTACAAAACTGTCATAATTGGTGATAAAAAAATTGTCGCAGTACTTCTTTAGTCATGCGTAAAAAGTATCACTTAATGATCTGGAGAATCTATGTAATTTTACCATCACAGAAGAAAGAATGTAAGGAGAGCAGTTACCCTCCCGCAGTATAAGGCAGAAAAGGTCAAAAATACTTGAGGCTTGAAAAAAGAAACTAAAAATAATAAATTCTCATGTGGTCGAAGTTGAACACTTGTAAAAAGAGAATCTATGAAAGATATGCTGCTGTTCGTACGAAAATAACAGAAATAATAATAATTTTAAAAAATTTAATTAAGGATTTTGGTATCAGAGAAAGAATTTATAATACATGCTGAAAATTAATACCTGAAATGTTAAGCTAGCTTATTTAGAAAATTTATCAAGTTAAATTTGTATATTTCAGTGGTTAAGGTCAGGAGTAAAAATTTTCGGAAGATTGTCAAATTTAACTACACTATTAGAAAATTTGTCTAATTGGTATGTAAAATGCATAGCATTTTAGCAAAATTTTAGTTGGGTTATGCAATTTAGTATTTAGCATAAATATGAAGAAGTGGTATGATTCATCAGTTACTTAAACTCCTGAAAGGCATAGTATGCACTGTTTAAAATTTTTAAATCTTTCAATTTTTTTGCTAGTGTGATGACTAATTGAAGGGAAAATATTTATCACTATAATTTTTAAATGAATCCCCTTTTTTTTTCTCATTGTAAAAAGTTGTAAAAATTATTTTTTAAAAAAAAAGTAAATAAATAAAAAAACTTTTTCATGTTTTGCATTTTTCTCCCTTTTTCTTTTAAAATTCTCCCTATTTCTTTATCAAATAATCATCAAAGAAGCTCTAGTTTTGTTGTTGAAAAGCTGCGATTTATTTTTCAATTAATGCGAATTGTATATTTTTATATAATTTAAAATATTTTGTTTTCTGATTTCCTTTAATGATGTAAATATCATGCTAGTGAATGGAATGTTTTTCACAGAGACTAAAATAAGTAATTATGCAAATTTAGTTCATAAATACTGTTAAAATAGAGCATTTCATGAGCGGATTCAAAAAGCCATCCCCTCAATGTTAAGATAAATAAAATCATAGCGATTTGGATAAATACTTTTATACTACCTTTTATGGTTGTATTCACTTCCCAGTGATTTTTATGAAGTATTTCAAAGATTGTTTTAAAACATAACCAAGGCTAAATACTATTGGTTAATGCAAAGGTTTATGTAACTCGATACCTTTTCATTTGAGCTCCTTTAATATTTTAAATTTCTTGTGAACAATTTTAAAATTTGGTATGAAGTGTAATTTTATTATTAATTATATATTTTCTAGTATGTAAGGGATTTAGTTAACTTACTTTTACTGTAGGTTTGTAACTAAAAGCTTTAACATAAAATACTGTACACTTATAAAAATTTTTTAAATCTTACAAATAGAGGAGGTAAGTGGTTTGAATTTAAATTAATGACAATTGATTTGGTATAATTAAACTTTGTTCATTAAATGATTTTATTTTTTAACACTTAGAATATTATTTATTTAATTTTTTTGTACTTTAACTGTCACATAAAGTCAGATTCAAAAGTTAATATAAATTTGACTTGTACCTACCCATTAAGGGAAAACTCGCCTAGACAAGATCTTGCGAGGGCCTTTATTAGATGCTGGTTGTGATGATGCCCGGATGTTGGGCGGGAATAACCTGATGTAATGCCGAAAACGATGTTACTAATGAAAACTGGTGTGATGGTTATCATGTGCAGGCTTCACTGTTCATTGAGCGAAGTACGTATGTGTTCAACGGGTCTGGTGAAGAGGGTGCCTTTCTCTGCTCTTGATGTTTATGGGTAATCAAGTCTGGTTGTCCAAAATTTACAGCTGGTGAAGTTGCTAGCTGTTTTAGAGTCATTGAGATGTTAATCACGAGGAAAGGTAAATACCTATGGCATTAATTTTTAATTTTATATGCACATCGTGCATGTATTCTTTAAAAAAAAAAAAAAAAAAAAAAAGGGAATAACTACCAGTGCTACTCAACTAACTTGCTGTTTAGCACATAGGTAAAATTTTCTGCATGTTTTATGTTCATCAACTAAAAAATCCTTAATTCCAATTCCCCCCCCCATTAAAACATCTACCTTTTATGACTTTCCTAATAACACTGCATCAGTGTTTGATCTCACAAAATTTTCGAGTTACAGTTTTCAACCTTGAGCATAGAAACAGTTTTAAGTTCTTATAAAAAGATATCCATGTATACTCATAAAAACATGAAAACTTTGGCTTCTTATGTTAAAATCGTATTAAAATGCTTATTAAATAATAATACAAGGTGTGGCTATTAATATCCATGACTGACATCACAACATGAAACTGATCACTTGCCCGCGAGAGGCGCTGCTGGTATCTGGAAAGTAGTACTTCTGCACATGCTCCCCGCAGCGCATGTCAGTTGTAGACATGAGCTTGGCTGGAAAAGATGCGCAGAAAGGTATCTGCTGAAGTATTATTGTTGAAGTGGGAAATTGGTGTTGGGAAAGTGCTGAAATGGAACAAAGGGTGAACATCAAATTCTGCTTTAACCTGGGCAAAAGTGCAACAGAAACACATGCATTGTTGAAGCAAGTGTATGGTGAGCAAGCATTATTCCATTCCCGTACATTTGAATGGTATGGATGTTTTTTGGACGGCCTTGAAAATGACACCCAGACCAAAAGGCCAATTTCCGTACGTACACCTGTAATGGAAAAGGTCACGAGCTCAGTGGCTGACCCTGAAACCAAAGGTTGTGGAGCTGCATCATCCGCCTTACTCTCCTGAAAACTCAAAATTGTGATCAAAGGAACTCGCTTTGTGAATGTTCAAGACATCAAGAAGAATGTGACTTCGATGTTGAAGAACCTTCCGAAAGAGGACTTTAAAAGTTGTTTCCACAACTTATACAGCCAAGCACAGAAGTGTATTACGGCAGGTGGGGATTACTTCGAAACATATTAAAAGGTTCCGTTTTTCACATAATTGTTCTGGTGTTATTAGAGCAGTCCTGGAAATTAATAGCTACACCTTTAAATAAACGTAATTTTCCCATTAAAAACGTCCTAGAAAAAATTGACATAGTTCAGAAAGGTCATTTCTGTAAATATTGTTTTGTAAGGAAGTTTCACATTTTCAGAATTTATACCTTGAATGTTTTCATTAAAAACACAAATAAGACTCAAGTCATTTGGCTCTTTCTGGACGCATATTCAGTGTATAACTGCTGTTTGGGAAGAAATGCTATTTTATTTAGTGTGCATATTTTGTAGTTTGGCATAAAAAAACTTTCAGATTCTTTTTTTAAATAATAAAAAAAAAATCATATCCACTTGATGTACAAGTGCTAGTATATTGTCTCTATCTTCATGTCTCGGAAGTTAACTTGTTGCATCTTCAAATGCAGGAAATTGTATTTTGCATCTGGCTGCACACATAATTACTAGATTTGTTACAAATTGCTTACAGTCTGTACTATTTCTAAATATTTTTATATATAATATGTCTAAATATTCATGTCTTATATTTTTCTATTTTTAAGATACTAATTTGGCTTATGCATTAGCATTGTCATAATTTATGTAAAATAAATATTTTTCTAACTTCTGAAGTAGGCTTAAATATCACTAGCTTAATATCACAAAAAATTTAATTTATATTCTCTGCAGAAGATGACATAAAAAATTTTTGTAAGCCTCTTAATTTTTTTAAAATCTTTGTTAGTCTGCTATTTTTTGAGGCCTTACAAATGATTCAAATTCATCTGGAATATGTCAGTTTTATTTAACGATTGTGTCTAAACTATTGTTCACCTCTTTTACATGCTTTATCTCTAATGTCTTCATTTTTATCTCAAGTGGCTGGCAGTATATTTCAAGGTGATGCAATTGGGTAGAATTATTGTGCTTAAAATTATTTGAAAATTCTTTCTTTCTTTTTTTTTTTTTTTTTTTTTTTTTTTTAAATTCTTTTCCTTCATTAGTGCCAGAATAATGACCAGTTATTCTGCTTGAAAAAAGTTGATATGAATTCCGTGCATATTATATTATATTTTGTCCTTTACGGCTGCTAAATTTTTCTATGTTTGCAGTTAAAATCTATAGTATTATCCCCCATCCATGTTGTTTGTGTTTTCCTAATCTGCAGATTCCTTGAGAATGGCATTTAATTTGTTCCCGCACATATTGCATCTTTCATCATCAAAAATAGAGATGCTGATTTTTCCAAAAATATTTTATTGAGCATAGTATACTTACTAAAAACCATAGTTATTTATTGATAATGAGAAATTAGTATTTAAATCATCGAAGAAAAGATTTACAGATAGTTTTTTTTTTTTTTTTTTTTTTTTTTTTTTAGATTTTATTGAACTTTATCTACTTAAATGTATTTCACAGCCTTATCTGCTCTGAGGAAACTTCATATTGGTCTTATATTTTTTTTAAATTGTTGAATTGATGTTTTAACTGACTAAATAAAATATTGGATTTAAGTAATTGTAAAAATTATGTTTAGTTTGCGAACTAAAAGTATTTTAAATTTGTAATGTTGTTAACACTGTATTATATATGAATAATTAGTAGTTACTGGTAAAGAACTCAAATGTGTTCAGATATAATATATACCTAAAAAAGAGGATACAAAAGGGAAAACTTCAATTTCCTATATATTTTGTTCTTGAAAATGTATAGAATGAGGTATGGTAAGGTAAAATTTCATGAAGCTTTAAAAAGGCAAATAAAAAAATGGACCCTTAGTAGGCATGATCATGGTAGTAAACTTTTATGGGACATCTAGTAAATGATGATAATAAATATTTTCATTGTTGAGTAGCTCTGGAAGAGCAGATGGCAGATGTCATCTGCTTTATTGAATAACTGCAGTTTTCCTTTTAATTTTACAAATATTCCATCATCCCTCCTGAATTATAATTTTGGGGGAAGTGCTGAAAAAAAAAGTAGATCACTTTGGCACCCTTACATTATACATTAACATCTGCCGCTCTGCTGATCATTTTATAGTTTTTCTTCTGAATTCAATGGTTTTCTGTTTTGAATGTTATATTTTTTTGCAGGATTTGAAAGATTACATGCGTCAGGCTGGAGATGTAACATATGCTGATGCTCATAAACAAAGACGAAATGAAGGGTAAGTTAGTGAAAGTTATGCAGGAAAGATTCGTTGTTTTTTAATTATAATGCCAAGTTTGAATGTTTTATTATCTAAAATTCTGGAAAATCATTAAATTCAGCAGATGGCCATGTTGTGTTTATCTGCTTATCCTAAGATTTTCAGTGAATTGATTATTTGCAGCAATAGGTGATAAATTGCTGTTGTCTGAAATTTTCATAGCTTTGAAACTTCTTACATATCTTGTCATTTTTAAAATTAAAGAGTTTGTAAATCTGTATCCCAAGTCATATTTCTTTAATTCTGAGGTGTACTGTTTTCCTGTATATGAATGTTGCTAAAAGTAGGGTGAGCCTCAGAATTTGAAACTGAGCATTATACTCTTCCTATACAAAACTTGCCTTCATAAACTAGGTGATCCTTGGGTACAAAATAATAAATTAAACTGAATTATATAGAATGCAGTGAGCTTAACTTCTAGAAATTAGCGGAAGAAAAAAACAAGATGCTTATTAATGTATCCATGTATGTATTATGTTGCAGTATTTTTTAAATTAAAAATTTTTAGAATATATCTTTAAAAATACGTATATGAAGAGCTGAATAATTTGACAATGAAATTAATAGATTTTGTTATATAGATGCCCCATGCTTTTATTATTTGCAATATAAAATTGCAGATGAATTTTGTAAATATTAGTCTGTTATTCCCATTAAACCTATGATAAATTAGTTTTCCCCTTTAAAAGCATTAATTATATCCATTTTAAATAAAAGCATATAGTATAAAATTTCTTAATATTTTTTCCCCCGTCTTTTCATCTATTGCATGTTATCAATGATGAAATTTTTAGTCATTAAAGCACAAGCAATAAATAATAAGACAATTATTGAACTAAAGGAAAATGATCTGGTCATCATTCACAGAATGAAGAAATTGCTCTTAATACTCAGTTTTGAAAATTAAATATAATAGCTGGGTTACAACAAGTATTTTATTTTGAAATTAAAATGAAATATGAATGTGGCCAGTTTGTCAGGAAGTGTGCAAAGGTATCCCATTTGTAATCTGATGTGACGTGTTCTGCGTTAAGTTTGTAATATGTTTGGAAATCATATTTTTAAATTTAATTTTCTTCAGACAGGATTTGATTGAAATTTATTTAGCTGATATTCATTTATGTTTTGTACAGTGTTTATACTTCCTTTTTATTTCTCGAACATATAATCTTGTTCTTTCCGTGGCTTTAATTTCAAGATTTTTTCTTTCATTTCAAATCTTTTATTCTTTCAATGCCCAATCTCTTACAGATATTTGTCAAAACATAATAAACAATAAAAATATAAAACAAAGGCAAAATATGAATTTATATTTCCTTTGTGACATTTAAAGTTTGGTACCTGGAAGAAATTTCTCTTTGCTATGATATGCTATTAAATTGCATTAACCTGTCATTACTTAAAATTAAATTCATACGTCTTGAAATTAAAGCTTACAAATCTGAAAAATATCAGGAATTCGTCATTTTTGAGGAAAATTCATTTTTTGATTTCCATCAGAAGTTAAGAATTCTTCAAATAAAAGTTTCTACAATCAGTATGATTAAAAAAGAAATAAGTTTGGGGAGAATATATGACTAAATATGCTGATAATTTTCCAGTTTGACAATGCAATAGTTTTTATGTTTAAATAGTGCATTTCTCATAAGTTACGGTAAAATTTTAGTTTTTTACTCATACCTCATTTTTTAACATGAAAGCCATTGGATGTGAAATTTCTACATGTATATATTTTTAGGGTTGTGGAATTTGCATCGTATTCAGATATGAAAAGTGCATACAATAAGCTGAATAATACTGAATTAAGTGGACGAAGAATTAGACTTGTTGAAGATAGACCTCATCGTGGCAGAAGGTATTTAATATTGCTTATAATGCTGATATTTATTGTGTGTATTCAGTGTATACAAAGTGGGTCAATGATAATTTTATTGTTCATTTACTTATTTCATTCATATGGCATCTTGTGTTTTCACTTTTATTGAAAGGTGATAGATTTCTGATTTTCATCAGTTTTGATAGAAGAATAACAATTTAAATTATCTTAAATGAATAATAAAAAAATTTCCATGTTCATAGGAATATGCTAAATTCGTACATTCAGCATTTAGAAGGCATATTGTAGGTTGTTTAATTATAACATTACACTTAGTGTGAAAATAATCTGTGAATTGTAATCTAATTTTAATATTTCACCATATGCAATATCCTTCAGTATTTCCATTATCATTTATAAACTCTGAAGCTCTGGAGTGATGAATTAGTGATCCAATGTAGGGATTAACCATATTCTTCTGTGATGTATTAAAAAATTTTAAAAACTTTTTTAATTCACAAGATTTCTCTTTGCATTTTTATCCTTTGTGCCAGTGTTTAAGGGAATAAGAAAACTTAGTGCTGTTAGTTCAGCTCCTATTTATGTACTGCATCTGAACAGAGGGAAGGAATTCTGTATGAAGTCCTTCCCTCTTGTATGGAAATATGAAACTTTTTCTGAAAAGTCTGTAGAATGGTATTATCTTTAGGGATTATCCAAATATTTAACTGCAGCTAAATACCAAGTAATATGTTGCAATAAATTTTCCTTCCACTCCGTTTTGAAATATTTTTTTATTAAATAAATGAATTTTTGTAATGATTGAGAAAATTTCCAGGTATACTTGTTAATAGCATTTTACATATCTCTTTCACATCGAAGTCACCCAAAACTTCTGACCATTCCGACATCGGCAGGTCACCCAAATTATTTTCTACCTGGTGCATTCCCCCATCACTTTAGTGCATGGCTTGTTGCTTTTGGGTGTTGTTAAATGACATACCAATCATTCTGTTGAAGTGCCTAAAAGTAATTCTGTTATTTGAATGTACCGTGATTCTTCTTTGTTTAGCATCAGTGTTTAGCTGTTGATGTACAAAGTTGCAATCCTGTCCTAAGGGAAAACGACACACAGTGGTGAAAGTATATGAAGATTCCAAGAGGGAAGTTTTCTCTTTACTTAAGTAGGTTATTATTAGCCCTGTAGCACTCTACTTGGCATAGGGGAAGGAAATCCATTCCAACAAAAATGCATACGTACGATCATTTCAGGTGTTTGAGTGAAATAGTTTTTGGCCTGTATCGATGCAAAAGACTTTAAACGGAGTGAAATCGGAATTCAGTGAATCTGATATAGATTTAAAAAATTACATATTGTTTTCTAATGGAGTTTAATTTTTTACAGTTATCAAAATATTTTGTGGTGAATTTATTATTCTACCTAATACTTTAATAAAATGAAAATTAAAAAAATCTACAGTGGAACCTCGAGATACGAGTTTAATTCGTTTCAGCATTGATTTGGCTATATCAAGTTTCTTAATTTTTTCCTGTATAGTGCAAATCATCGATGTCGAAAGACCATAAGTCTGCCAGTTTTATCACTCTTACACCGTGCTTGTTTATCTATGATTTCTTTCTTAATTTCAACGGCCATGGCTTCCTTATTTCTCTTTGCAGCACTATCTGAGGCACCTTCTTGGGAGGCATCGTGAAATAATAATTTTCACGTTAAATGCAATAAACAATTTACTCGCACACAAATACGTAAATCAAAGAACACCGAGTGATCTGACAAAGGGATTCATCGAGCCAGATCGGGTAATGGCGCCACGCATACTAACAGCCTGGCTCATTACTCGAGTCAATTCTCATATTTAGAGACAAATTTTTTGCACGTATTTCCTCTTATGTCGAATTTCTCGTATATCGAGGTTCCACTGTACTTTTTTATGACCTCTTTAAATTGATGTAATCCATTTCTAAAATGTTAGCAATATGGGAAATGTAAATGTTATTTGTCAGTTACTTTACTGTCCCATGTTTCAGAACATTTAGGTATTAAAAGCTGTGTTAAACACATTGTGTGTTTTTTAATAGCCGAGATGGAAAAATTTTGCATTCAGCCAACCAGATTGAGTGCTAGAATATCCATTTCAATGCCAAAATAGTTACCAGCATCACACTTTGTCTGTTTTGAGTTTATTAAATTTAGCTGCTTCAGTTTAAATCAGGACAGAAAGAAAAATTTTATCCTTTATCTTAAGTTGAAGGAGTTCTAAAATTAACTTTTAACCTACAACGTCAGTGTCATTTTGCCAGGAAACAGAATTCTATAAAATCATCCCTGTTCATTGTCTAATATCCCGTAATGATCCTGAATTTAGTTTTTAAAAATGTATTAGTTTAAGTAATTAATTTTTTTATATATAATTGGCTCAGTTCTACTGTCGAATATGATGATGATATCGGAGGGGGAGTTCAGTTGCTTTTGTTAGTTTAGAGAAAAATTCTAGCTATAGTTAACCATTTAATGTTCTTAATTCAGTTGCAGTTCACTGAGTGAAGCATTTTGCACCACACAGCTGTGTCCTGCAAGTTTGCTGAAACGTACATTGAATTTTTCTAACAGATGAAAATATTGTACATTATTATTTATACCATGTGTTCTCCTTCACATTGTGTAACTACCTACTTGGTATCATCCAAAGTAGCTCCACTACCTATAAGGTATCGTCTGAAGTAGCTAGTTAAAGAGAAGTAGCATCATTACTTTCTGAGCATAACTTTTGTGCATGTCAAGATTACCTTGTCTGTCCTTCAGTCAAATTTGGATACTTTCAAGCATTTTAGTATAAAAACTAAGATTGATTGATGTATGACTAATGCATGGCAATTCAAAATCAGGTCTTTTTTCATTGACCCTGTGTTATTTTAATCTTAAAATCCAGCAAAGGTAAAAATGTATTTTTTTTTTTTATATTAAATTCTTTTTTGATATTACAACCACTTGTTATGATTTCTCTTTTTAGGAGGGAAGGGGGCCATTCAATAACAAATATCATCTGTATGATGTCTGAGTATAAAAATTCTTTGTTTTTTAATTTTGATAGAAGTATACTATTTTTATTTAATAATTTAGATCACGTTCAAGATCCAGCTCGAGATCACGTTCAAAAAGCCGTAGTCGAACTAGATCCCGCAGCCCCCACAGCCGAAGTAGAAGTCGCAGCAAAAGTATCAGTAAATCGCGCTCTAGATCACCTACTCGATCTAGATCTCGTTCCAAGTCACCGGCAAAGTCTGCTTCCAAATCACCTTTAAAAGAAGAGACTAGACAATCCAAGAGTAGGAGTAGAAGCAGAAGCAGGAGCAAAAGTCATGAAAAATCAGCTAGCCAGTCTCGTTCACCATCTAGAAGCCCAAAGGTTGAAGAAAAGATTGAAGAGAATGAAGAATGATTTTTCATAAAAGTTGCATAAAATATCTGTAAATATTTTTAATTTGGTTTATCAGGTTCTTGATAAATATGTTATACTTCATGTTGAAATGAAAGATTGAAATATTTCCTGTATGATTGCTTCATGTATGCAAAATTGACAATTCAGCAATAAAGTAATTCATGCAGATTATGCTCTCTGTGTTTTCATATACAGTATAAAGTGCATTATCTGGATTTGTTGTGACTTCAGCAGTTTCAGATTTGGGAATTTTTTGTATTTTAGATTATCAGTTTCAATTTTACAGGATATCATGTAGAAATTATAAAATTTTAAAAATCTGAAAGGGCTCTTTTAATATGATTTACCTCTTTATTGATAGAGATTGCCGAGATGAAAAGTGAAACATTTTATGGAATATTAACATGGGAATGTAATATATTAGCTATATATTTAACATTTCTGTAAAAACTGTAAAACATTTAATGTTTTTAATTAGGTATATCATGAACTGAATGCATTTTTTATTCAAATGAGTCGGATTGAAAAGTTAAAAGAAAAAATGTTCTTAACAATTTCATTATGGCAACAGACTCAAATGAAACAACTGAAAATTTTTTAGAGACTAATAATAATAAGCCTTTTGAGCTGAAATTATAAAATAATAGTTTATTAATAATGAAACATTAAGGACCTTAAGGGAATCAAGATTTACAAAAAATTTGGTAAGCTCGATATTTCTTTGTTTCCTTTAAATATTTCTTTCAGTGTAAGTTGTTTTAAGTTGCTTTATTTTTTATACTAATTCTTTCTCTTTAATTTTATAGACAGACATAATTTCTTGCTCAATAACAGGTGACAAGTAATGCAATTACTGCGTTGAGACTTCCCACTAAATGTCATTCGAAATTTTTTTCATTCTTGACAACCCCTCTCACTTTTCGCTATTGGTAGTGAAATTTTCTGGATTTGAAACCATCTTTATTTATTACCACTTCTCCCATATTTATTCATTAATTGGAAAATTTTGCATTATCCATTGTGGATACCATCATAAAGTTTAGCAAGCATCCACTGCATACTATTAGTCATTTATCATGGCATTTGTGTCCAAAGGCATGTTCTCGTCTTGCTCCTATTGCACTCTGAGGAAACTGAGCCTGAATTGTATTGATTCAACAGGTAATTTCCTGTTACCACCAAATAGTATCACGATGTATTATATTTAAAGAAACTAAATAATGAAAAATCTGCATGAATGTTTTTCACATTGTGAAGAAACAACGTTACCTAGTGCCATCAAATTTTGAAAAAACATCCTCCAACCAAAGATGAACTTGGAAGCCTGAATTTTGAATTTGTTTTATCAGCTATTTAAGAATTTGTAAAACTTTTAACAAAGTTTTGAACAACAAACTCAACAATTTCAAAGCTAGCTGTATGGAAAAAAACATTTTAATCTCCAGCGTATGAGACTCTGAAATTCTAAAGATATACTGTTTTATAAATATTTTGTGATTTTGCTGTTGAAATGAATTTTATGTTGTTTACGTGCAAAGAAAATGATATTTAATGAATAAAGGTGCCGCAAAAAAAAAAAAAAAAAAAAAAGCGCCTGTTTGGGTGTAATATAAAATATTTCAGATTTTTTTGCCACCATGCTCTTAGCTTTTTTTTTTTTTTTTTTTTTTTTTAATTTTAGATTTCTGCAGTTCATTGCCAGGTAGTCTGACAGTTTTATGTCGTAGTAGCTTACTCTTTTGAAGTTGTTTCAGCCATACCTGGGCAATGGCAACACTGTGGGGAATAAAACATTTTTATCTCAAGTACGTGAAAATGTGTATCAAATTGTAAAGATATGTTGTTTTTAAATATTTTCAACCCAAAAGGCCTTGAAACATGTATTTTAATTGATTATTAAAATTCCTTTTAATTTGCGTGTAAATGGGGAAAAAAAGCCTTTTTGAGTGTATTTATAAAATTTGAAAACTTTTCAGACTTTTTTTTTTTAAATGCATGCATGTGTAACCTGTCTCAAATCTATTGCAGAACAGGTCATTTATTGGTTAGCTGCTGAATGTTGTTTGGGATTACTAGATTTCAGTTCATTATATTTTTCCCTTTAAAATTATGCAAGAATATGTGACATCAGTACTAGTTTTCTAGATCAATGTCGTGACATTTTCATGCTGATGATTGTGTTTACAGAGGAACTTTCTTAATTGTAAACTAGCGTGCAAGCCCGCTTTCGTTGGCCTTTATTCGAAAATTGGACCGAACAACTAGTGAAGCCCGCTTTCCTTCGCTGGGATTCGAAAGTTGGACCGAACTACCAGTGTTCAGCGGTTTTGCGCAATTCACTTATGCGTCCAGAAGATACTGCATACACGATACACATGCAGAAAATCACGAAAACATCCATGCAGCTATAAATATGCATTACGATCAAAGGTATGCTGTTCAGACTCATTCAGCATTAACTTAAGAGTCTGTACCCATTTCCATGTTCCATCAAGTTATATTTTGTACTCATGTTTGCATTTTTATTTTTATGAATCGTGTATTATTTTCAGATATTTTAGTTTGTACAGCTCACTAGTATCCATGTGCACAGTACATTAATTCTTAATAAACTGAAGCTACCGCACTTTTTGTAATTGACTTTTCCCTTTTATTTCGTATGGCTTTTGAGATAGTCTCACCAAGTTCTGAATTTTGCCAGTAGGGAAGGCTGTGATTCTTTTGTGATAGCTTATAGTCATTTTACTCTAATTAAACACAAATTTGTTTGTTCAAAAATTGTTTTTGTGTTTATGAATACCAAATTTTTGGACTATATATCATTGTATCTAAAATTCTTCAGCCTTCCAGTGGTGGAGTGCCTGACTGATGAGTACTGGGAGTTCAAACCCATGTAAACGGCTGGCTGAGTGTCCCCCCCCCTTCTAAAGTCTTCGATGAAAGCATTCTTTCCTTTAGGTGGATAGCTCTTGTGCTTTGCAGTATCCTAATATAACCATTAAAATTCTTTGTATATCATTTTTAATGTCTGGGATTTTGTTTTTGGCAATTTAACTTCAGATTTCTCTCTGTTTAAGTCTGGTAATCTCAATGAACATAATATTTAAAAAATTTGAATATTTATGATAGGCATGACAAATTGTTTTCCTTAAATACTGACCAAATAAAAAAAAATTTTCATTTTGAAAAATGTTTGTTTTGTTCAGGGTTACCCTTTGATGTATGTTTGTAATTAGTTCATTTGGCCATTTAATTTTTTCAGGTTTTTTGCCATACAAAATATTTGCTTTTCATTCTTTTTAATTTGTGTTTCTACTTTTATATATTAATTTTGTAGTTCTGGGGTTGTGAATACATGTAGGGAAAAGGTCTGAACATAGAAAGCCACTAAATTTTTGTTTTAAAATGATTTGATTCGAATATAGTGATTTTGAGTCTCAAATGATTGAATTGCATAATGTTTATTATATGCATAAAATTTTCAGCTATATTTGATGCAACATAATGTAAAAATAATATTGACCATTACAATTTTAACTTTATCCTAAAGAATAAGTGTGAGAATAAATTATGCAGCATTTTAGAAATAGCAGTTCAACACACATAGATAAAAGCAGTATTTTATTAATTAACATGATGTAAAATTCACTTTCTTCACACATTAGGCTTACAAATTAAAAAATGAAAAATATTAATAATAAGTTTTTAATATAATACAAGGATACATTTACAGCTATCAGATCGCAAAATAACTGTGTTAAGAATTTATTCCTAATGAACAGTTTTAAATAAGGAATATTTCATTTAAATTTGAAATTATATTTTAATGACATTACACACATGAATAAAATGAAACAGTGGGAAAATAAAGCATTTACTTGACAGTCTTTCAAATGTATGCACAATAATAATAATAATGATTTAATATTTCAGATTTAGGATACATAGAATCATGCATATGAATAAAAGTAGATTACAGTGAAGAAAAACATTTACTCTGGCACTCATTTTTTCAATAATATGTGCAGTATTGAAAATAATAATAATGGTTTATATTTCAAATTAAGGAACCATCTCACTTTTTACAACATACTCTAAATGTTAGGCCTTATAAGAAAAGTATAAAACTATTATATACCTCATTATTTAATTCATCTGTATTAATGATATTCATACTGATGCACACTTCTCCTCACCTTATTAATGCATAAACCACACTTCTTAATATAAAATTTGTAACTATAAATTAAATTGTAAACACATAATGGATGTCATTTTTAATATGCACTGCAATTGATAAATTTGTAACACTTTATTAAGAAGGTAATTTTTTTAACTTCTTTTATTAAAATAAAGCCTACAAATTGTCATATATAAATGATCCAGTGATATTATATTAAAGTACAAGGATATTTTATAATTTTCTACATGTATGTATTTCACTATACCTTACATGTCAAAAATTTCTAAAATTGGCTAGTTCTTCAGCAATTTTTCGCTCAATAACCTAGCCAGTAATTTTAGCTGAAATGTACTAGTCTCTCTTTGCTTTTGATGATTATCACAATTTCTGCTACAGTGTACTGCAGCTCTGCATTTAAATGAACTTTCTTGCCATCAGATCTGAATTATTTAATAGCTAAAGCCATAAATTTTTTGAAAACTGCACATGAAATGAGTTTCTGTAAGTAATGACTGAGAATTGGTGACACAGTGTGGTGGTCCATCCTGGACACCACATTTTTGACAATGGAAATTTTTATATGAAATTTATTATAGGGATTAGTCATAGAGAGGAGGACCAAAATTCATTAGAATCACAATGTTCACAGTAGTTAGCTGTCTAAAATGAGGGATGTCTTGATGAAGGATAAAAGTTCTCAAGGAATGGCTTAAAAATGGATAACTGGCTCATATTCATGCTACAAAAGGAGCAATGGCTTGTATTCACATCATGCATGTGTGAGCATAATATTATATGCCCTCTGTTGTGCATAATGCAGCCAGCTTGTTAATGTGCACTGTAAGGGGTTGTAAATAGACCCCAGGTGCAAAAGCTCTATCTATGCCTCTATTAAAATATATAATACAAAAGGCTAAAAATCTCCCGATATAAAATCCAGAGAGCCTTTCAAATGCAAACACTAAAATTTGTAGTTAATAAAATGATGAAATCTCAAAACATTCAAATTAAATACTTCCGTTTCCAAATTCATATTTATAAACGAATGACACATTTCATAGTAATATTAATTTATGGAAACAGAATGTGATTGTGATGAATTCCATAAATCTAAAATGCAATAAAATTTTAATCTAGCAATACTTTTGCAAAAAAAAAAAAAAAAAAAGTATACAAGATAACATTGTAGACCGAACATTAAATTTAGATGAATTTAAAGATCATTATCACATGTTTGATTATGAAATGACACTGGCAGTGTCTGAAATCCAGTGATAGGAAATTCTGATCTTGATTATGTACAGAATACTAAATATATATGATATACATATACATATATATGATTTGATAAAAATATTTTGTAAAAAAATAAATATATTATGAACAAAATATTTCGTATTCTGAAAACTATTTCATATATATTATATTGCTATTTTTAGGGCAAAGACATTCAAATTAAACAATCCTGAAGTTTTCAAATTTCTTCCAAACAAAAACGTGTGTTTGAAAAATGCAAATAAATTTTTATGCATCTCTCTATTTGCATTTCATCATTGTTTGTTTTTTAAATGCCTCAACAAAATATAAAGAAAGAAATTAACTCACTTTTTATTCTGACTTCTAAAATTTTAATTTAACAACTTATTTAATTATTTCATGAAACCATGAAAACATATTTTCATGCAACCCTGAAATCTAAAATTCACACAATTTTTGATTTCAAGCTGTAAGAACTTGCGATCTACTGTAATACTCAATAATAAAACTTGGTCAAGCTATCCCTGTCACATAAATGTTTAAATCTTTTAAAAAAGGCCAGGATTTTAATAAAAAAATATACTCTTGTTACTGATTAAATTTACAGCTACAACTCTATGCTTATCAACAAGTTACAACACTCTATGCATATCAACATTTTGAATTAAATTTCACTTTATAATAAATCTAAAAAAAAAATAATTATTTAAAAACATTCAGATCAAAACGTCAATTACAATACATATAACAAAGAGGAAAACTGCAATTAATATATTATAAGGATAATATTAAATTTATTTCCTTTTTATCTTTTTCATTTGTTTACATAAAATTGCAGCATTTATTGTAATTCACTATAATAAGAGGTACTATTCCGTTTTGAGGACCGTAAAAAATTGCAGGGAAAATATATGCGCAAAAGCGTCAAATCTAGCAAAAGCACCCATTTAACAGCGCGCCAAATCTAGCGTACATGCTGATTTCAAATTGTGTAAGTTTAGATAGTTCTATATTTCTTAAGACGCCATTGAAATACTAGTTTAATTTTTAAATATTTTTTTTGATATCCTATGGATTTAACAATTTGAGAATTGCCCATGACGAAAAGTCTGCAATAGAATTTTTTCAAAGAAAAGGCATCATTCATTATAGAAAATTATGTTTGAACAACCACCGAGATGAAATTATGCTTTAGCGATAACTCGGTAGCAAAAGAGCGATGCAGGAGTCCACTCAGTTATGATTAGCCTTTTCTTATATAAATTATAATAATAATCTGAAACATTTATTTACTCTTATGCTTCCATTCAGTTATGTTTAACCTTTTTTATATAAATTATAATAATAAAAAAGTATTATATGAAGTTAACCTTTCATATAAATTAAAACAATAATCTTTAGATAGTTATTTCCTATAATACTTCCTTTCTTGCGTTAGGGTTGCCGCAATTATTTTTGGCGGCATCAATAATGGTTTGGCAATTTTTTACGGTCCTCAAAACGGAATAGTACCGAATATTTAATGTACTTAATGTAGCTTCCTTTTTTATTAATTTTTTCTAGATGTTGAATCTGTTGCTTGCGCTTATTATTACCACCATATTCAAATTAGAGTATTTTCTGATTATCTGTATCCTTCACCAAAAAGTTACAAACTTGTTGGTGACTTTGGACAGCATATGTGAACTCGTTGGAGACATTTTTTTCACCAAGCTAATGCATGAAAGGCAACAGCTATTTTCAAAATGGCAGCACAATAAGAGTACCATACAAGAGCACCAATCAATAAAATTAAAAAAAAAAAAAAAAAATCAACAATAACCCCCCCCTTTTTTTTTTTGAGAAATCCTTCCTTTTTGCAGTCATGTATACACAGGGGCGTAGCTAGAGGGGGGCAAGGGCGCAGAATCCAAGGGGTGCCAAATTGATGTTATGACATTTTAGAATTAAATAAATGTTTTCCATCCTTGGCAAGCAGTAGGGGGTGTGAAATCTTCAGTTGCCCCTGAGCGCTGAAAACCCTAGCTATGACTCTGTGTATACAGTGATATGTTTTTGCTTAAACATCAGAAAATTGAACAAACTTGGCATCCATGGAATTCATCATTGCATTTCTGGCAAAAACAGACATATGTCTGCACATATATATGGGTTATCATATAACTATTTTGGTGACTTAGTGCTTTGCCTCATGACTATTTTTTAGTGATTTTTTGCCAATGATGCAAATAATCAGGAAGTACTTAAATTAGTTTTAAACAAAGTGTAAAGATATTTATGAACCATTACATATAATAAAAATTCATTTTTTTGGTTATAAATTTGTTTAACAGTTTGTTTACTAAAATTATGATATAGTTTATATGAACATACTCATAATTCTTTAAATCCCTGTCAAATCTGCCAGTTTTCAAGTCATAAATTTAGAAATTACAAGACGATTTAAATTAAGCACTTAAAAAATATAATGTAAAAAAATAAAAGCGAGATTTGATGTACATACAATCAATTTGTTTACATAATAAAAGAATAATAGTTACAAAAAATAATATCACAATTGCCAGATTATTTATGTTTTTTGGCAGTGTGGGAATAGATGCTGAAAGGAATAAACTGAAGTGCACCAGTAGATGCATATCTTTGTTCTTTTTTATAATTATTTTCTTTAACATCATTCTTACTTTCTGAAAACTTAAGACGAAGAAAGTTTTCTCTTGCATCTTTATCCTGCTTGTAACTGATCTCCAGTATTTTGGATTCATATGGAAAATTATTTAATCGCTTAAGAGCCTGTGCTGCTGCTGCTTCTGTTTTAAAAGCAACAAATCCAAAACCTTTGCTTTTAAAATGTTCATCTCTAACAATTTTAACACTGACTATTTCTCCAAATCTCTTAAATAAATCTTTTAGCTGCTCATCAGACATATCTTTTGGTAAATTTCTTACATGTAAATTGTTTCGCTGAGTAGATTTCTCTAATGCTTTTTCAGCATATTCTAATGAATTTTTAACCAAATGTTCTCTTACTTCTTTTTCCAAAAAAGGTTCAACAGTGATCTTTTTACCATCGATAACTTTATCATTCATTTCAGCAACTGCAATCTTAGCACTAGAATGCAACTCATATTTCACATATCCATATCTAGATTTATCTTTTTTTCCTAAAATATGCACTTTTAAAATATTTCCAAAAGGTGTAAATGTTTTAAAAAGATCACAGTCATCCCACTGTGAATTGAAATTTTTTACGAAAACTTTCGTAAATGCCTCATTTGCTACGTTTTGCATCGCATACTTTTTTACTATTAATGGCCTTCTCAATCTAATTTCTACACCGTTCATTTCACGTGCGCTCCTATAAGCACTAACTTGATCCTGAAACTGTATGTAGCCTTCACATACAGAAGGATCATTTTTATCAATTTCTATACTTGCACATAAAATTTTTCCATATCTTCTAAAAATATCACACATTTGAGCAACATCAACGTCAGGATCCAAATTCTGAACATGAATAGCATTCTGCATGTTTAAAATGAAATGACCTGTAAACATATTAAGGTTATGCACCAAAATAATAGGTATGAAAAGAAATTTAAGTACAAAAATAATAGCACATTAGCAGGACCCAATTTACAAAACTAGAGGGGTAGAGTAAAACCAATTATAGAAGCTCCACCTTTCTAAAGTTAATTGTTTTACTATGTGACATATAGTTTATGTCACATAGTAAAATAAATAAAAATTTAAAGATACACATTTGATGAACTTTTATTCATATTTTTCAAAAGATAAATACCCTCAGTTATGAATTTTTGCAATAAGAATAATCAGTTTATTTGGAAGAACATTTATACATGAACAGTTTTATTCACAGTAAAAACTAATAAGTGTTAGAAAAAAATCTGACTCAAAGAATGAGAATCTAGAAGGCGTGATGAAAAAAAAAAGACTTCTAATTTTATCCAAGACTCAAGTTTATCAGAATCAAAATGTCATCAAGTGCCAAGTTGCATTAAGAAAGAAAGAAGTTTATTACTATTTACTTAAAAACATTCATATTTTCATCTAAGGACTGAAGAAATAACATGGAAAGTTTCTCTGAAAACTTAAAAAGTTCGAATAATTTGTTTACTTTTAGTTTAAATTAAGTAAGTTATATAATTATTATTAAACATATCAGAGAATTATTTGAAATAAATATCAGTCAGAAAATGAACATTTAGTTTATCAGTATATTTGAAATAAAAAGTGTGTTACAGGTATCAAACTTAAGGTTTCAGATAGAAAATAAATACAAATTTTTATTTTTTCCCTTTGAATATTATTGTTATTTTTTATGTACGTTTTGGATAAAACATTTATTTTGAAATTGAACAAGAAAAATTTAACATTTATTTAAAATATTGTTCTTGGGAGGGGGAGTACTTAGGTATTATTCCACTGACCATGAAAATCGACAATCACCAAAACCATGAAATTCCCCAAATTTGTACCAATCACTCTTTACTTAATAAACACATTTAGTATTTGAGCCACTTCACAAAAGGTTTTGTGGATTTCTACTATTTTGTTAGACCCTCGTATTTTACACGATGCTTTGCTTAGAATGCTATAGGTACAGACTTCCTGCAGGTAATTGTTCCAATCTATTACTATTTTATTATAGCCATACTCAGCTGACCATATCATGTCCATAAATACACACAATTTTCTGATATGTTTAATTAATAATTATATAACTTACTTAATTTAAACTAAAAGTAAACAAATTATTAGAACTTTTTAAGATTTCAGAGAAACTTTCCATGTTGGACAAAACTTGAGAACATATAACGGCAAGCTCCTTCTTTTATTTATTAATTTTTTCTTCAGTGCTTAGATAAAAATAAATATGTTTTTAAGTAAATAGTCTCAAAACTTTGAAAATAACCCACTACTTGCTGTTCTGTAGAATTCAGGTCTCAAATTTTCATAATTTTTTCAAAATGCAAGAAAAAGCACAGCAATAATAGTTAATTAATATCCTGTTTGTAAAAATAATAATAAAAAGATATATCAAGAATCAATCAGAGTTACATCAAATGTAAACGTGAATTACTGCTTAGTGACAGTTTCATGATTGATGGGATAATTAAATTACACAATGAAATAACATAAAAAAGGAAATATATATTATTAGATATACACACTACAAAAAGGAAATATCGACATACCATATTTAGAAATTTCTGTGTCTTCAGTTTGTGGCACACAAAATTCCTTAATAGTATCCAAAAACTTTCTAAAATTATCTGAACTAGAATATGCATATTGCCGTCACCACAAAAATAAGCATAAAAAATATCTTCCGCACTATCGGACTGTCGGTGGCATTTCTTGCATAAAGCTTTCTTGCGAAAAACCTATTCAAAGTCATCTGAATGATCTTTACATTTGACTAGATGCATTTCCTTCGTATAAACAAGACACTTATAATGACTACTAAGTAAACCTTCATTTACACACAAGTCAATTAATGCTTTTTTTCTCTTTTGTTCCAAATCATACAGAAACTTCAGATTAATCTCATCACATACAGCCATTTTACACTGTACATCACAAAATAAGCAGCGTACTTCCTAACTGGCATCCAATGCAAAAATAAGCCCTTACAAATATTTTCTTATCAGTCAAATTCACCGCAATCACTCAACCAATCATGTCATAATAGGGTTTCCATAGCATTAAACTACTCAGGTTACTATAAATGAAACAACAATTTGGTGATAAATGAAACAACAACTTGGCAATAATCCACGGGGCACCCTAAAATATAGACTAACAATAATGTCTAAAATTTTATTACATTTTAAACCAGGATCTCCCTCCTCCCAAAAAGTGCTACAATGAGAACTTGAAAAAATTCTTACTGATTTTATTACAATCCTTATTTAATTAAATTACACAAACAAGATTTAAATAATGCAGTTATATTTTTTATAAATTTAATAATTACAATGTCTATGATAATCAAATTATTTGCATATTCAAGTCACATCATAAGCTTCAAATGAGTGGTCACATGGTAACAGAGATTTGCAAATTATCATTAGTTTACAAATCGAGATAATGAGACTGCAAGACAGTAACAAAGTATCAGACTTTTTAAAACATAAAAAAAAAATATGAAGCTTAATTTTTTTTTCTTACTTCTTTAATTTTAAAAACTAGAATTGGGGGGGGGGGATATAGCAGGCTCTTAGGCCTTGGGCACATGCTCCAGCTGCCCTTATGTAAATCAGGCCCTGCACAAAAATATTATTTAAAAATCAGCAATAAAAAGCACATTAAATAAAATAAATAATTATAATTTACATAAAAATATCATTTAAATAAGTATTTTCCTTTAATAATATTAAGCAGAATTCATAATGAATGACATTTGAATGCATTTTCATAAAACTTCTATTCATTTACTGTTCAGACTATATTTAAATATACTACCGCTGTATAGACAAGATTACCATCATAACAACACACTAATAAAAATTTTTTTGTGATAATCTTTTATCAAGTTATAAATTTTAAAACAATCTGGAATGTTAAATTTAGTGATATTTAAACTTAGACTGGCAAACACCTAATAGGAAATGAAATCCAATCACAAAGTAATGCTATATTAAATTTCAAATTATGTTTGTTTTTTTATGCAATCTAAAATGTTTAATCAAAAAATAAATAAATTTTAAAAAAATTCAAAAATAAATAAAATAAAATAAATAACATAGTAAGTTTATTAAAAAACCCCTTTTTATACATTTGACACTATATATAATACTTTCATTTCTCCTACAATGTATACAAAAAAGTAATTCCTTCTGCTTTTACTTGCACTGGAAATGATATGTTATTTACAGGTTTTTTTTGTATATGGACTATATATTTACATTATTTCTTTTAGTAAAAATTAATGTTAGTTGATATGAATTATATTTTTTTTCGAAGAGATGTATTTTTTTGCACATATGTTAATGGTGATTACTTCTTTGCTTTATGCCATTTTGTTCTGTGAAAAGCTTCAAAAGAAAAAGTGGGAGAAGCAGATTTATCATAAAAGTTTAATAAATACCACAAAGTATTATATTATTATTAATAGCAATAAGAAATTTATCCTAAAAAGAAATAATAATAAATTTATCATTATTAATTACACTACTGCACATTAGTGTTGTTTGTATTACTTCTTCTTTCAGAATAGAAAACTATCGCCTGATTATGACTTTAATGATATTCAGTGCAAAGAAGATCTGAAAATAATAATCAGGGCCAAAATGATGTACATCCACTACATTATATATTCTCTAAATATATTTTAGCAAAAAACTTTTATTCAGTAGAAATGGTTTTAAAAAAATTTAACAGACAATAATGTTAAGATTTTGTATCTGTCTACATTTTAAAAATTTTCTATTTGTAATTCTGCATCACAGAAGTTAGCTTATTTTACTTTTGACTCATTTACTGGCTGATTCATAAAACAATCCTCCAAGGAAACTTTTTCCCACCTAGTATGAATTATTATATCTGAAATGTTTTACTGCAGGGTTTCTTAAACTGTGAGTCACGACCCTTGCAGCAAGGGGTCGCCAAAAATTTTAGCAGTTTTGATATTTCTTTAACTTATTATAATAATTTTACAATTACCAAATATTTTTACACAATGTATTTGAAAATAGATAAAGATAAGACAATACAGACAAAGAAAAAAAAAGTTTCAACGCATTCTTTTCATAATTAATATTAACATTCATTTTCCTTGCTTTGCACGTGACACTGTCATTTCGTCTGTTACTTATTTAAAATTTTCACATTGTTTTATGTCTTAAAATTAGAAATTAAAAGTTAATGATCCTAAAACTGCAATAGTATATTACAGTACAAGTGAAAAAATCGACAATTTCACTCACGCATATATCGGATTTGCGCAATACTTATGGGGGTCTCACAAAAAATTTTGTAAATATTATGGGGTCCTGGGGGGTTGCAACTGAAAAAGTTTAAGAAACCCTGTTTTATTGAATTTTGTTTTTATTCTACATGAACTAATGCAAGTGTAAAAATTATATACTAGTACAGATGCAGAATGCATAAGTTTGCCTTCCAACCTAGGCTTGGTGCCAGAGATACAGCAACCACACAGCACACAGTGGTAAAATTTAGGGATAGCAAATCTTTTAGCAGCATTCAATAGCAAAATTTAGGCAAGGCAAAATTTTTAAGGTTTGGGGTTGGCGGGCACTGGGCAGCAGAATTTAAGATTGGTAAAATTTTTAGAATTTAAGGAAGCAACGGGCAGCACCCATTCAGATTGCATCAGGCAGCAAAAATGAGATTTATGAGAAAATAAAATAACAGTAATACAGCCTAGTGTCAGACCTGCTTCCAACTAAAAAAAATAACAGGTGATTGGCAGTTTAATGCTAAAATGAAACATATTTTTTAAACATATTAATTGACTTTTATTAAGTTTTAATTCATTTTACCCTGATGAGTTCTGAACTGGAGTTTCAAGAAAGGGAGATTAATTTTTTATTTGCATAACTTTGTATATTTTTTCTTTCGCATTTTTATTTCTCGAGACTGTTCCACTATTAATTCCCTCTTTAATTATATTAGTTCTGATATTATGTTATAACTCTTATACACGGTAGCAATTATTATACTATAGAGGAATTGCCTTGCTTTTGTTCCAATTTTCTAATTAATTTAGATGCTTTACGTTTATTCTACTTCAACTACTATGTTTATTCTACTTTACGTCTATTCTACCCAGCTACAGTGCAAGATGCGTTTAAAAAACTTTTTTATTATAATTTTTAATTCAATTTTTAGCCTATTTATATATGTTACGGTGAAACACCGAAATCTGGAGAATGTCGACTTTCACCGTAAATGTCAACATTCACATAGTCTCTTGGTTTATGTCCGAAATATTTTCCAAATAGTATTCTTATTTCTGACTTACACCGGGTTGAACATATAACAATATTATATTTTTCTTCTCCGTAACTCAGTCGCGAATAAACACACTTGAAACTTGAAATAAGAACGTAAGAACATGAGAACCTAAAACACACAATACATTCAAAATGAGAAAGGAAAATAATAAGTTAAAAACTTACTTAATTATACAGTACGTTCTAAATGAGAAAATAAAATAACAGTAATAAAAAACTTACTAAATTATGTGATTCAAATCTTATTTAATGCAACAACTTAAACTATTATGGCACTTTATGACCTCTCTTTTCGACTTAACCAGAGCATATCTGTGATTGTCAACATACACTGGTGAGGGTCCAAATATACAAGAATGTAGTGCAATATTCGATCTTTCACCAAGGTATTTGGTGAATGTTAACATTCTCCGGTGAAAGTCGACATTCTCTCATTTCGGTCTTTCACGGTTACTTATATATAAGTTTTAGGATTGCCGTAAAATGGCAAGGGATGGCAGGGTTGCCACATTTGTTGAGAAATCGTCCATTTGGCGAAAAAATTGCCGATATGCCATGGAAGGTTGGAGAACCTTCTGGAACGAATTCTTACCGATTTAACCAAGAATGTTCTCGAACACATGCCGAATGCTAGATACACCCTACTGATTCGCAGTATCGAGAGTGTGCCTCTCGAGAGGGCGAGTATGTATGCCTCGCAGAGTGTCTCATCTAGTTAGTCCATGCGAAGACGATAGAGTTGACAGCCGGCCAGCCAGTGCCGAGTGGGTTGTCGAGTGCACCGAAGGTGTCTCTTAGTGTATCGTGGTTAGTGCATCTTCGAGAGAGCATGTTGAGCTCCGGGAACGACTGAACCAAAGAGTCGGGAGCTGTGATCGTGTGTCATCGAGTGCATTGCGAGTTGTAGCGTGGAGTCTCGAGAGTACGTGGAGTTCCGAGAATGACCAAGCAGAGTCGCAAGCTGTACTCTAGTGCTTTGCAGTGAAGCCGTCTCCACCGTGATAGCCTGACAACCTGGAGGTTGCATTGCTGATCATGTCAGCGTGTTTAGAGTAGTTCACCGACGACTCTAAAACATGTTTTTGAGCTGTCCTGACAATACTGGCTAAATAAAGTGTGTTTCGATACTTCATTCAGTGTCATCATTATTCACTCTGAATCCAAACGAACGCTGTACGAACGTGAAGAAAAAAGAAAAACGTAACAATATGAATGATCTGGAAATGGGCAGTGGTGTAATAGATGCCTAGCAAAGAAACTTGGCAAGACAAACATAGCCGGATTCAAGATAATTTTATTAGAGGAAAGCAATTCTGGATTTGCAATACTTGGTTCACATTTGGATGAGCATCTTATGCACCCTACATTTTTGTTAGTTCAGCTCATATTCAGTTAACAAAGTGTCTTTCCAGGAAGAATGCATTAGAGAAAGTGTCGCAGCAATTCAGAGGGAAAAAAAGAAGGAAGTCAAAACATTTCAGTTTGAGTTAAAGTTTTGGTTTACAATTATTTAGTGATTGGGCAAGAGGTATCTATCTGCTTTAGGCATTACATAGGATCGCATGATTAATTTGAATGACGCAGTTTAGCATTATTTTGAAGATACAGACAAGAAGTCCCCAAATTAAATGAAAAATAAAAAGAGATTATAGCCGATTAAAATTAGTAGTTATATATATAATCTCTTTTATTTTTCATATATATATATAGTTTAGTTATATATATATATTTATATATACAGTACAAAGTCTTTAATCCGGACGTCCATAATCCAGACCTCAAAGCTACAAACTTTCTGCGCATGCGTCAACGCATAATGTGTTCATGCATGTGCATATGCGTTTACACATGCGCGTAATACCTTTACGCATGCGCATTTAATGTATAACAGACGGTATAAGCTAGGCTAAAATTATATAATTATCTATTTTAGTTAATGTTGCAGATTGCACTGTTCCTTAATCTTCTAATTGGATCTGGCTTATTATTTTTTGCAGACTATTAGAGCAATTTTATAAAAAGTAAGCTTGAACTTTCGATTATGTCAAAAAGAGTTTCCGATTCTGGAGCTGCCAAAGGATCTACAAAGCGAAAGCATGTTTCGATGTACCGCTTCCGATAGTGAAGAAAGTGACAGAGAGGTAAACGAAAAAATTTTGATTGATAAGTTAGTCAGTATTCTCGACACAGCAATTACAGGACTTGAACAGTGGAACTGAACAAGAAATTATGTCTGTTTATAGAATTAAAGAGAAAGTATTAGGACAAAAAACGAAGCAACTTAAACAACTTACATTGAAAGAAATGTTTAATAAAGTAAAAAAATAAATATTAAGCTTTTTTTTTTTTTTTTTTTTTTTTTTTTTGTAAATTTTGATACCCTTTAGATCATAATTGCTCTTTATTTCATAAATTAAGGTTTAATATTTTTAATTTTATAATTTCTGCATGCCATTTTACCAGATTTAAATTGATGATTTATAATCCAGAAAAACTCCTAATCTGGAATCGCCGAAGTCAAGACGAGTCCGGATTAAAGACTTTGTACTGTATATACTAAATGCAGTATTTTGCTTTTTAAAACAATGGTCAATACAAATAAATATATGAAAAGAAAAGAAAGAACATGGTACCAATTTTGAAGTATACAGTCAAAAGTCGTTAATCCGGACTCGTCGGGACTTCACCGATTCCGGATTATAGATCATCAGTTTAAATCTCGTAAGATGGCATGCAGAAATTCTAAAATTAAAAATATGAAACCGTAATTTATGAAATAAAGAACAATTATGATCTAAAGGGTATCAAAATTTACAAAAAAAAAAAAAAAAAAAAAAAAAAAAAGCTTAATATTTATTTTTTTACTTTATTAACAATGCAGAAACAATAAAAAAATTAACTTTCAATACAAAATTCCTTGAAACAGGTAACTAAAGAAAAACACTTAAGTGGTACTAAACATTTAGAAAGTAACACATTTTCTACATTTCCTTCAGGATTAATACCTTTTGTTAGATTACATTTGTGTATTACTGGCTAAACTTTTTGAAATCATTAAATTATTATCTTGATAAAAGTTATGCTTAGTCTTGCCAAAAAATGCATACAGATATTATTTCAAAAAACATGCTGAATATATACTAATTAATAGAATTCCAAGATTCTACTGTAAAAGGAGTACGGAAGGAATGAGACCTTCCATACTCCTTTTACAGTAGAATCTAAGATGTTTCAATATACTCTTCATGACCATTGTATACTTACCTCTCTTCCTATATACATGTCAGAGCTTAAATTGCACCGGAGAAATAAATAAGGCGGTTTAATCCTAGTATCCGGTGCATAAGGGATTTGGCTACTTTTGGTGAATTTATGATAAGTAGTAAACGGGACATACACGATGAGTAGTTAAACGGGTCATTTTGGTGTTGGATAATTTTCAAAATCGCGTCAAGGCTGCACCGTATACTAGGATTTTACCAAATAAGGCTTTGGAACTTCTTTTAACTGAACAAAAATTTCAATAGAAATTTGATCTTGAAAATTTTACTTTTAGTAATAAAATTACATTAAAAATTGGTTCTTAAATTTTAATTTAATCTCTTTGCATTTTTCAAATTTTAATTATTTAATTACTTTTAGCTATTAATTATCTTAATAAAGAATAATTTAATTTTTTAGTTATTAATGATTTTATTAGTCATTTTATTTATTCTTGTTCCTCTTGCCTGAGAGTCTTCAATAGGGCTCCGGTACTTCTAATTTTAGAAATTAAGCCCTGAGATACGTGCATATATATATATATATATGTGTGTGTGTGTGTGTGTGTGTATTAGAGAACTATTTAAAAAATAAGCATTTTAAAATTTCATCACGAATGAAAACTACGTTAATATTACATTTACCTAGTAAACTACACTTACTATTTTTTATGAATTTTTTTTACTATTACTAAGTATTTGTAACTGCATTTACTGTTTGTTTCACTTTTATACACCTTAAAATATTTTAATACTTATAAGTACTTTTTTTTTAATTTATCAAAAACATTAATCTGTTACTCTATGATATCTATCATTAACAGTTCATAAATTATACAAATGTGGGATTAAAAATGTAACCTAAAAATCTAACCACAATCCTTTTAAATTTTAAGTATATAAGTATCTTATACAACACATCAAACAGAAATCACCGTTATTAATTTACTTACTAATGGTAAATCTACATACGCTTTTACTATAAATGAAACCGAAACTAATACGTATATTGCCATTCAGAATACTAAAAGTCCAAGTTAAAAAAAGAAGACGCTCAGCAGCGCCGCCGTGTAGGGGTGGCAAAATTATTCACCGCACAAGGGCGTCTGGGGGTCTGGGCTAGAGGGGCACCAAAATTTATTCTTATAACAAGAAATAAAACAGAATGCTGGATTTTCCCTCTTAGATATGCGTACAATATCACAATATTATAAAATACATACATTTAGTACTTACATTTTAAACTACTAAAACATCAAATAAAATGCAATCCAAAGCTCAGAGAAAGCTAATCCGATCTCACTGCAAATTCGCTACAGTCAACAAAACAATTATGTAACCAACTGTACTAAGATATTTCTCTCCTGCGTTTTAAAACTGTTTTGCACTAGAAGGTCTGGTAATTTCCGTTTTCTTGAGACAGACAGACAAAGTAGACAGATGTCTTGTTTTGCACCCGCTAATTCTTTCTGCACCGATGGACGAAAAATCAAGCTTAGCTGCGAAGGAAAGGGGGCGACAATTTCGTATTTGAGGAGAGTAAAAAGGAACTTCGTACATTTTGTACGAGTTCGAAAGCCCAGGAAGAAAAGATAAAATTTTAAATAAATGGCCCAAAAATAATAGAGAGAAGAAAAAAAAGGGCCTATAGAAAGAAAAGGAAAAAAAGTAGAAAATATCCTAAAATACGATTGTGTCCATGACTGTAGTTAAAAGGAGAAGAAGCTGTCTTCATTTACAATAAATAGTGTCTCACAGGTGTGTGTGTTTTGGTAATGCTGAATAGATGTGATACTGGGGGAAAAAATGTGACAGTGTTAAAATGCTTCGTATCAAGGTATTTAGCATGGAATACAAAGTAATATGTGTGCTTGCATCCTGAGACACAACAGCAAAAGACCCATAACATCAGACAAAAGTATATATTAATTTAACTAAAGTAACTTATACTAATTTCGTTCCCAACATTTTCATACATTTCATATATAGACCCATATACAAGACCACAACCGCACACACACACACAAAAATTATATATGTTTATATATATGTGTGTGTGTGTGTAAATTACAGAGAATATGTATTAAAAACATAAATTAAACATAATATTTATTAATTTAACTATCACAATTTATTACAAGTTTAATTATTTTACTATCATAATTTATTACTAGTTAAATAATGCTAGTATAACACAATGAAGCACACTGTTATTTATATAAGCTCATAGTTCTAAGAATTTATTTAAGGCAGTGAAGAATAAACCATCCCTTACATATGGACAACAGTATGAAAAAAATCGGTGAGGTATAATATTATTTAAAGGCGAAAATATATTTAAGCGATCTAAAAGAAAGGGAAACCAAAAGAAAAAAGATCCGAGAGGGAAGGAGCGCGATGCCCCGAAATCCCCAAATTTTCTCCTCTCACGAGATTCCTCAAAACAAGATAAGGGGGGGCTTTGTAAGTGGTTGACAGACGTGAACTGATAACGTTGGCGTCTGTTTGGAGTTGATACACAAAGGAAGCCACAAGCAATGAGCAATTTCAAGTATTTTTTAATGCTTTAAAAACTGATGAAAAATTAAGATTTATTGATTTAAAGGCACTTATTTATAGAAATTTGATTTAGTTTAGATGAAAGAAGGGTACTTATTTTAAATTTCCAGGCTTTCGTAGTATATCCTCACATTGTCCGCTGTTTCATTCTCATCAACATCGGAGCTGAAAACCTTTGTAAAACGTGTAGGTTTTGTAGAAAAAACACTATTTCAAAGTGATTTAATTGATAATCACTAAGAGGAAAGGAATGTTTTACACTTTTTTACAGAGCGCTGCGAACATGCAGCCGCTTGCCTCGGTGATCGCAGCGCCCTCTCCAGACAGACAGACACTTATTTTGCAGCAAAAGATTAGAATTATGGTCACAGCTAACACAGTAGTCAATTACATTTATTCAATTTAAATATACTCGTAAATTACCAGATATCTATTATTAAATGCGCGTGCTCCAGTATTTTTACTTTTTCGGCGTAGCTTCTCTTAAAACTCGTCACGCGCTGCATTACACGGGGAAATAAAACAATTTTAATTACAATTTACTAAAAATTGTTAACCAAATACAAAATCCGGATCGTATATAAGCAAAATGTACACTGCTAGGACAACGGCTTGTGTTTGGCCAATGACAATCCAGATAAGGGTCACCATTAACTCTGCCCATATGAGCGATGTCACATTTCTGACGTTTGTTTACATTTTGCTGTTCGGCGGTTAAAATGCGGTTTAGCCCACTGCTTGGCGATTGTTTTTCAATGGGCAATAAACGCGCCAACATGGCTAACCCGATGTTTTGAAGCTGTGTTGTTATTCTGTTGCCACTAAATTTTATCGCCCTGTGTTATATTTAAAGAAATTAAATATTGAAAAATCTGCATAAACGTTTCTCGCATTGTGATAAAACAACGGTACCTAGAGCCATCAAATTTTGAATTACATACGTTTCCAACCTAATATGGGCATCTGGAAGCCCAAACTTAGAATTTTTTTATTATCTGATTGATATTTTGTAAAACTTGAACGAATTTTTGAACTCAAAGATTTCAAAGCGAGCAACGGCAACACAGTACGGGAGGAAAAAAAAAAAAGAAAAGAAAAGAAAAAAAAAACGTTTTTACTTGCAGAGCGCAAAACTGTGTATCGGAAATTCTAAAGATATGCTCATTTTAAAATTATTTTGCGATATTGATGTTGAACTAAATTTTATGGTTTAAGTGTAAAGAACATTATATTTGATAAAGAAAGGTAACACACAAAACGTTAAAAAAAACGCCCCTTTGGGCGTAATGAAAAATCTAAAAGCTTTTTTTTTTTTTTTTTAATTTTTATTTTTACTTGTTAATTCTGTTGCGATTTGAATGTTCTTATGTGGTGGTTCTTTCTTTAATCGAGTGTTTTTTCCCCCTGTGGGTTTTAGCCTTTTTTCTGCATATATTACGGAAATGCCTTTTTTCTGCATATATTACGGCGTATAAAACGTTAGTAAATTTATTTAAAGATGAGAGGGGATCCAAAAGGGTTTACCCCTGAGATAAATTCATATATAAAACCCCTCAAAAAGACTTTACATTTTTCTTGAAAAGGGTAAGTGAAAAAATTTTTCTTGTATGCTTCGTTTTAAAGTTGCTTATTTTTAATATTTTGTATTTCTTTTTGGCTCAATCCTAGAAGATTGGAAAAGCTGACGTTGTGCAATTCTCTGATGTTTTTTAATGAAAATAGATCGATATGTACATGGGAAAAGTCAATGCAGTACGCAATCCCGACGTTGTGCGCGATGCCGAATTTGTGCAATTCTGGGATGTTTTTTTAAGTGAAAATAGATCGATGTGCACATGGGCAAAGCCAATGTGGTGCGCAATACCGAGTTTGTGCAATTCTGGGATGTTTTTTAAGTGAAACTAGATCGATGTGCACTTGGGCAAAGCCAAGGTGGTGCGTAATGCCGAGGTTGTGCGCGATGCCGAGTTTGTGCAATTCTGGGATGTTTTTTAAGTGAAAATAGATCGATGTGCACATGGGCAAAGCCAATGTGGTGCGCAATACCGAGTTTGTGCAATTCTGGGATGTTTTTAAGTGAAAATAGATCGATGTGCACATGGGCAAAGCCAATGGGGTTCGCAATGCCGAGGTTGTGCGCGATGCCGAGTTTGTGCAATTCTGGGATGTTTTTTAAATGAAAATAGATCGATGTGCACATGGGCAAAGCCAATGTGTTGCGCAATGACGAGGTTGTGCGCGATGCCGAATTTGTGCAATTCTGGTATGTTTTTTTAAGTGAAAATAGATCGATGTGCACATGAGCAAAGCCAATGTGGTGCGCAATGCCGAGGTTGTGCGCGATGCCGAGTTTGTGCAATTCTGGGATGTTTTTTAAGTGAAAATAGATCGATGTGTACATGGAAAAAGCCAATGTAGCGCGCAATGCCGAGTTTGTGCAATTCTCTAATATTTTCTAAGTAAAAATAGATCGACTTGCACATGGACAAAGTCAAGGCAGTGCGCAATGCCAAGTTTGTGTAATTCTCTGATTTTTTTTAATCTTATTTAATTGACTTCAAATTGTATAGCAGGCTTTTCTATACACTGTTTCTGTTATGCATAGTGACTGATATCTCTTTAAGAAAGTATGTATGCACGCAGATAAGTTTCAACAAATGAATCCTTCGCATGAATCATGCATTTTGCGAGAACTTCCATGTTTGAATGAAAATGTAAATTTCTACGAGGTTTAAACCTCTCGCATTTGTTGTGAATTACACGTAGCTTTTAAGCGAAACTAATGGTATTTTGTGTTTTAAACTTACCTAAATTGAGTTTTAAATTATAAGTCCAAGGGGGAAATTTGCCCAGAAGGCCTATTAATTTCGTTTCGGCATTTTGCAATGATTCACTATAAGCGTTGTTTCACTTTTCAAAGTGTGGCCAACAAATATTATCGCCCTGTATTATAATTAAAGGAATTAAACGATTAAAAATCTTCATAAATGTATGTATGTTTCCCGCATTTTGATAAAACAACGGTACCTAGAAACGTCAAATTTTGAATAACGTAATCCTCCTGCGAATATGGGCATCTGGAAGCCCGAATTTGAAATTTGGAATTTGTTTTATTATCGTTTTCATATTTTGTAAAACTTTAACGAATTTTTGATTAACATACCGAGGAATTTCGAAGCAAGCAATGACAATGCTCTACAGAAAAAAAAAAAAAAAAAAAAAAAATTTTTTATCTCCAGCGCGCGAGACTGTGTATCGGAAAATCTAAAGATATGGTTATTTTAAAATTATTTTGTGATATAGCAGTTGAACTGAATTTTACGGTTTAAGTGCGAAGAACATGATATTTAATTAATAAAGGTAACACGCAAAGTGTTAAAAAAACGCACCTTTGGAGCATAATGTAAAATCTTAAATTTCAGATTTT